CCATGTGTTGGAAGAGTACAGCGGGGAAAAATAGCATTCAAGCGATTTGATATTATCTCATTGCCGCCGCTCGAGCGAAAAGAGAAAACGAATATTTCGTAAAAAAAATTATTTATGAAGAAAAAAGAAGATAAAGATGAAAAATAAAAAAAAAAATGAATGTGTAAATTACTTTGAAAAGAAACACAACAAAAAAAAAGTCGACGACGATGTCGTACTGAGAAGAAAAGAACTGATATAGAAAGAATCTATTGGCAATTTTATTGAATCGGTAAAAGAATCTCGTGTGTGAGAGAGAGGGAGATAAGTAAGAGAGTGTGTTATTTTCATACCTTTACGTTAGGGGTCGTTTACTTATGACGTCTCATCAAATTTTTTGTTTTTAAGACCCTCAACGTCTGATGCTACAAAGAAATTAATTCAAACACCTTAGAACCCTCCTCCCCTCCTGCCCTTTTAAATTTAAGACGTCACAAGTAACATATCTCGGAAAAGATGAGAATAATGAATTTACAATGAAAATTATCTTACTAATCTCATACTACACAGCTGAATTCCATTCAAATAACTCAACATTTCTCTCAAAGATCGTCGCAATCTGTCAATGACATATATTTTTTTGTCATGTTTGCATCATAAAGACATGGAAGCCGATCTATCTCTCTTTTTGTAGACATATGAATGCAACAATATGTACACACAATTATACACGTAAATAGAAAACAATTGAATAATTTTTCATGTCAAAATAGCCTCCAGAAAGTATAACATGAAAAGCTATTTAGGTACAAAAAAAAAGCGCGCTAGAAATCTCCGTTACATAATATCCAATTGTTGGTATACTGTGCACAATAAACTTTTATGTTTTAGTGGGATCGTAAAAAAAGCAGCACAAAAAAACTATCAATCTACAGAAAAAATCTCTATCTCCTCTACAAAGGTATATCCATATTATTTTAAAAAAAGCGCTCAACTACTTTTATTTTATGGAAACCCGCGGAAATTGCGCGTTTTTCAAATATTTCTAACAATACTCATTGGCATTGAAATAGTCGAAGCGCTAAAAGACTCAACAAGTGGTTGCTGCTGCTTTTATTAATGCTTGTTGTGTGTTTTTTTCTTCTCTTCCATCTCACTCTCCTTTTTTTCTGACACACCAAATGAGCTTTGTGAAGTTTTTTTTATTATTTTTCTTCTTTTCATACCTCTTATATCTACTATAAGTAGCAGACTCTTCGTGTGTACGCTCACAAATCACACAGAATGTTTGTATAAGGCAACAACATTCCGAAAAAAAAAATTGATTGTTATACATTCAAGAAACGATCTTTGTTGTTGAAAGTCATTGAAAGTTATTTTGGAATAAACCATTTCCGTATTTCAATCATGAAGAATTGGTAAAAAAAAAAAATGCTAAAAGCTTTTCAAGCAGAAAAAATATTTTATTTAAAGCTATGGTCTTGTATGCCGTGAGATAATTTCGCTTCCTTATTTTTTGTCTATTTCTATGTCAAATAGAATTGGGTGAGCTTTTACAGGCATGTTTATTTTGATGGTGGTGATGATGAATGTGACAGTAAAGAGTCATTGAGATTTTTTTTTTTTGATTCAAAAGGCACTCATTGGCTACCCAAACGAAGAAAGAATAGCATGGAATTGAGTATAGAGACACAGAGACAGCGCATTTGTTTATTTATTTATAGTTTATTGATATTGACAAATAAAATATTTTTTATTAGAGATAGGCAAATTTTTTTATTAGGGTAGGTCTAAATTAGGTACACATTGGCACATGTTTGGAATTATTTGATGAATGTTTTGTGAACAGAAATTTTAGACAAATAGATGTGTGGAATTTAAACAACTTTTTTAGCATTGAAAAGTATAGACAACTTAAAAATTGAGTTTTGTATAATTCCTTTTGAAAACTTTCTGATTCCAATGTGTTTATAGAGTTTTCAAGGCTTCGGAAACATTGACTTATTAGATTAGGAACTATTTTTGGAAATTTCCATTCTCAACTTAGCTTAAAGGTGTGACAATCTATTTATTCAGTTAGAATTTCTTTATAAAATAGACTTAATTGACGTCTTTTGCAGATGACGTTCATTATGAATTGAAACTTCAGGACCCACCTCCTCATTTGTAAATGTCATTAAACGTCAAACATCATTTATGAACCCTTAACCATTCATCTCATCTAACGTTCCATTCCATATATGTCACACAGCTCCAGAAAAATATTAGACATAATGATAAGCTTCAAAGTTTCCTTCAAGTTACATATTTTCACATAGGAAGTCACACTTCTGCTTCTTAATTTCCACACCATTTAAAAAAACATCGGTTCATTAATTTCGAAAGGTCTAAAATAATCGTCCGATAACTAATGCTTCCGTATATTGCGTAAAATTTACAGCAGTGATAAAAGCTTTTCCTCAAAATGTAGACACTCACGTGAATAGACAAAATGACAAATTCCATGCCTTTATTTTTCTTTGTGAAAAATTAATTAAAACATAGCATTTCCTTCTTCGTTGTTGGACCAACAAAAAAAAAGCAGCAGCAAAAGAATTACTTAGCGAATGGAGTTATAAATCAATCCGACTGTTTCGTCAAAGAAAAAAAATATTCATGGTCAAATGAAGTAATATTACCCGCACATATACTTTTTCAAGATGATAATTAAACTCTCAGAAATGAATTGATTACAATACATAAGTGGAGTAACTAGGAAAAGAAAAAAAAAAGAGTTCCTCTTCTTCCCCATTTCATTTTTTTTTTGTTTTATATTTTTTGTCGCCGCACATGTTTCTGAAATTTCTTATCAGTCAAATGGAAGGAAAAAAAATTTCGGCAGTTACATCTGACTCGTGACCTAGATTCTAATTTAGAAATATGCGCTTCCATTCTCAATAAAGAACTCTCTCAGTCCTCTCCAGTTGAATATTCTAAAAATAGCAACGCTGGATTTGAAACAGCAATGAATAAAATTTTTTGACTTTCATATGTTCTTTCCGTAAATGTGTTTGTGTTTTGAGTTGTAAAGAATGAGAAAAAAAAGAAACGAGTCTTCAGCCAAAGCTTTTTCAACAATGCGTGCATTTAAACATTTTTTTTTCATATTTCTTTTAGCTAATGCCAAGTTGAGGAAACATTTTTTTCGTATTATTTCATTTTTACGGTGATTAATCAAGAAGTGAAGACTTGTAAGTTATGAAGGACTTTTGAAATTGCTGTATTTTTCTTTTTGTATTGTACTTTCCGTCGATGTCTATATACACTTAATTATATACATTTAACGAAATGAAACTTTAAACATTATTGCGTAGGTTTTTTGCCTTCTCTCTTAAATGTCTTGACTATTTGTTAGATGATGAAAAAAAATGTTATTTTAGAGTTCTTTGAAGGCGGAAGATCAAAGCGCAGTTTCACGCTTAATTAAATTTGTGAGATTTGCATTTAACGGTGTTATTTAATTTAAATTTTTGATCAAGTTAAAATTTTGATGCTCACTTCGAAAAGTTTTTTGCTATTTATTCAATAATTATGTAATATTATGAATCGAAAAGTATAAGAAATGAAAGCTTAACATAGCAATAGTAATATACAAGTAAAATAAAAGTTGTTAAACAAAGACTTTTCAAGGTTTTACTAAAATAAGAATTCTAACCCAAAAGCACATTTTCACATTAAAAAACCACTCTAAGCATAACACAAACAATCTCGATCAGTCAAACTGAATCCATTAGCACTATTGTGCTCGAAAAAAGGTGTCAAAAAATAGATGGAAAAAGATTTACAGTAAAATAGCAGCAAAACTAAAACCGTGAACCATTGTACAGTTTCATCTATCTTAAGATTCAACGAGGAAGTTTTTTTAATATTTCTAAAGAGCTATACATTAAGTTTCGAAAGAGAGATATAATAAATAGCTTTCGGGTTTGCGGTGTGTCATTGTAGATTTTTTTTTCCATATCTCGCGGTGCTTGTGAAAATATTTCCGTGTTTCGCTATCAAGGAGATTTGTTTTCTTCTTTCGTGTCTCCGATTAGCCAAATATTTCACACTTTTTTATCACCACATTCATTTATGTCACTTTTTTTCCGTGTGATATGAAATCGTGTTTAACTTTTCATCGTCTTACGTCTCCGTAATACGAAGTCGACGACGAAGCTATATTCCAAAAAAGCATTATTATTTTAATGATAATAAATTTTCAAGGGCTTTTACACACATTCTCTTTCTCACTTTTTATTTACTTCCCCATGTGTCTATCTTCTTTTTATTTGAAGAGTATTGAAGTTAAGCAAATGCATAACTCTCAAATTTATATAAAAAAAAAGCTGTTTAAACTTTAGATTAATCGTCATGAAATACAATGTATTTTAAGTTATTGGACAAGAAATTATCGATAAAAAGTATATGCCTCACAAAACTATTCAAACCAGAGTGTCAAATAATTTTGTAATGAATTAAGTTTAAGATTTGAATAATCCCTGACTAGATTTAAAACATTAAGGCTTGATAAAAAGCAATAAAATTAAAGTTTGGTCAAACTATCGCATTGACATTATAGTTGAATCATAAGCAGTTTTAAGGTTTATGTTTGCCAAGTAGTAACGAAAAAGCAGCATTGAAGTAAGAGAAACTTTGCAATGATGATGAAACAAAACGTGCATGTCCCCATTTCCTTTACAAATAGCATTAATCTCATTCGATCGTTCACGTTGCTTGGAGTAAATGGTTTTTTTTTGCAATTTAATAAATCACCTTTCAAAAAAAAAGTTATACAAAGCAAATACATACGACCTTATTGCTCACTGTCGATCTTCCTCTTTTTTCTCTCTCATACATATGCATCCGATGCATTATTCAAACATTTTTAATAAATAATATTATTTTCCCGGTTGAAAACACAATCACTTTTTATTGTTCTGAATATTTTTTTGATGATGTATCTTCATGTAATAATAACGACTATTTCTTTTCATTCACAGATAGGATGCTGATGTTGCAATATAGTAAACACGGCGAGTGTATACTCCAAGAAATTGGTGCAGCATTTCGGGGAGAACATCCAGCAGATTTAGAAATCATATGTGATGGAAGTAAAACAACATTGCGTGCTCATAAACTTGTACTCGCAGCCGCAAGTCCACTCATAAGGTAAGTTGTCTTATTTTCACCTTCGAACATGCGAGATATGTAGAAGGTCTTACGAAATAATTATGAAGCAATTGTTTTACTCGACACGACTTCTAATTTATTTCCTCATCATTAACAGAACAATACTGGAAGATACTCCTTGCCATCTCAATGATGGACACACAACAATACACTTTCCCGATATTCACATCAGCTTTTTTCGTATGTTATTGGATTTCCTTTATTCCGGACAAACATTTGTACCAGTCGATGAGTTAGAGCAGTTACAAGATCTCCTAGCATTATTACAAATAAAACCAAATATATGGCGCAGCGGTGATAGTAAAAAAGATATTGTTAATGGTAAGTCCACTCTCTCATCCAGTTCATCATTTATTTATTTTTTTATTTTCGGCAATATTTGGTCGTCAAACAAGTATTTCTTGACAAAGACATGTACTCTATTATGTAAATCATACCAAAAAGACTACAATTCGTTGTTGGGTATATATAATGTATGTACGGGGTCATAAAAGAGATTCCATGACAATAATCACTATTATTTTACCAAATTGAATATACTCTTTGCTCTACTGAATAATTTTGGCGACTCACGACAAAAAACATCATAGAGACGGACGTACATACAACAATAAAATTACTGCAAGTCTTTCAATGTCATATTCAAACACTGACAAAGAGACGAGATGATCATGTGGGTTCAATCACACATGATGTTCATTAGAATTCGGGGGGTTTTAGACCTCTCTTAATCGTCACGTTGGTCGCTGAGGTTTAAATCTCAGACTTGTCTTAGACCCTCTTAAACATAAACGTAATAATCAAACGACCCCTACAAATTTCGTTACTTATTTATCTTCACTCTCTTACATTAATTTTTCTGTTTTTTTCCTTGTTTCTTTTGTCCACGATAAACTTGAAAAGATTCCCAAAAATTAGATAGTTGTAATGAAGGCGGTTTAAATTTAATTAGCAAAAATAATAATAACAATAGCAATAACAATCGAAATCGTACAACTAGTAGTAATTACATAATTAACAATGAGCTACCATCCGATGACATTAATCCGTCTATAAACATAAAAAGTGAAAGAGTTGCAAGATCGTCTTCAAGATCACACTGTGAGGGGGAAACGGATAAACTGGATGAGCAGGAAAAAAGTGCTGGCGAAGAGTCACCGGAATCGGCATCAGAGAATGAAGGTGACAATAATAATAATGAAGATGAAGAGCGTGAGGAAGGAGAAATTTGTGAAGATCAAAATACGTCGAAAGTTAATACAGAAAAATCAAAATTATATAAAAAGAAGAAGCGACGAAGACGAAAACGTGAAATGACATTGAAAAGTGATCAAAGCCAACAAATTGAGGATGATGATGATGAAATGGTTGCGATCAAGGAAAGTCCATTAGGTGATGACAATGATGGAAACTTATCGGATAGCTACATTAACAGGAAACATTCAGTATCAAGACGAAGACATTCCTCATCATCAGATCCTGTGAATTTGTCAATTGGAAATAAGCAACAAAATCAGCAAGAGGACTCAGATGATGCAAACATTGATGTCGAAACTATTAGTAATGCTCCCACAAAAGTAAGCTTAACACTTTTTTCTCATGAATTGCTTTAATCTAGGCTTAAAATTATTAATTCGTTTGTAATGAATTTCATCTGATTAACGTAATTTTCTCTCGAATATTTACAGTCATTATTGCCTACCCGTTACTTAGACCCCTATCGACTTAAGCGAAAAGCTTTATACATTAATCCCGTCGACCACGAAAGCTTATTACTCAAATCATTACCAGAGCACGAACTGCTCCAAAACTCAACAAATCCCGACAATTATGTTGTGACGCCACATCGTAAGCGTCGTCCAGGATTTCATAATTCACCCGCACAAAATCCACCATTCGTACCAAGTTATTTAGAAGATTTGCGACAACCGCATAAAAACTTTTTAACACCATCGCTTTCAGCACCACCACCCGCATATTTAGCAGGTAAGCTATTAATTTTATTTAAAAAAATAATTTCTTTTGCGCAGCATTTTTAAATTTATTCAGCTGGATATCTGTTCAATTAATACTTTCATTGTGTTCATGATGGATTAAAACTTTTTTAGAAATGTTCGAAATGTTTCAATTTTTTTTTTTCAAAAATTTCTGAATTATAACTTCAACATCCTTATATCCATCCAGATTTCGATTACATTAATGATCGTCGTGAAATATCATCGCCACAGCCGCCATCAAGAGGAGGTCATCCCACCGAATATCAGAATCATAAAAACAACAATAGTAATAACTTAAACGATAGTCGACGACGTCATTTGAGCGATGAAAACGCAGGTCAATCATCGCCTCATCTTCCACCACCTTCATTTTATCCATGGCCTCATCCATCATCTGCTGCGAATTTAGCAGCAGCAGCAGCTTTAGCAGCTGCACTTCCAGGTGGTCAACATGATCTTCTAGGACTTACTCAATCTGCACTTCAGCAACAGGAGGCAGAGCATCATCATCATTCCCGTAATAATAATCAAAATTCTGGTACTTCAGGAAATTCTGGAACTGGAAATCCAGTTCGAGAGTATCGTTGTCAATATTGTGGAAAACAATTTGGAATGTCATGGAACTTAAAGACCCATCTTCGGGTACACACGGGTATGTAAAAAAAATTGAATAATTGTGGAACTTGCTCTAAATATTTTGTTGTCTTCTTTTTTCTCAATTTCTACAGGCGAGAAGCCATTCGCTTGTCGATTGTGCGTAGCAATGTTTAAACAAAAGGCTCACTTATTAAAACATTTGTGTTCAGTTCATCGAAACATTATAAATTCACCGGAATCTGGTGGTCGATATAAATGTTGCTTCTGTACTCTATACTTCGATACACTCCAAGAGCTCGTTCGTCACTTGTCTGGACATCATAATAATTTGTTATTAAGTAAAAATCTACATGAATGACAAAAGGATAATGATTGTGACGAGGACGATGAAGAAACATGAGCAAAGTGAAAAAAGTTTTATATCCACGTTTTCCTAATTTTATTAACTCTGTATAGTTGTTATTGAAAAAGGGCCATTAAACCAAATGTTTTACTTAATTCAATTGCCCAAGTGATATTTTCTATATATCAAAACAAAATTTTATACATTCTTTAGTAGCTGAGGATTAAAAGAAAAAAATTGTAAAAAAAAATTTTAGCTACCACTTTTGGGACATCTTTTATATTAGGAATTTTACAAATAAAAATTTTATACATTTTTTGGGAAACTTAAAAAAAATCTCGCTTTTCGGTATTTTTGTCCCAGAAAAGCGTCATACATTCTTTAACTTTACTATTTTATATCTAAGATTATATTCTAATATATTGAAATGAAAGCAAGGATTAAGAGCTTTTAATGACAATAACAAACTCATGTCCTTAACACAAAGAAAATTTTAAAAAAACTTTGACACGCACTAAAACAACAATGTTTAAGAAATTTATTGCACAATCAATTATTTCTCTTTAATTTATTATAAACTACTGTAAAATGATGAAGATTTTTATGATAGACGAGTACTTTTTTGATGGTATCTTTAACTTTTTGAATCTTTAAGATGGAGGTCTAATGCTAGAGATTGGGAAATACCGTAACAACTTGTTGTCGTGTTGTTTACTGGATGTTTATCTTAAACACATTTAATTATTCATTGATTGTAAAATGCATTGGGATTTTCCTGATTATTCAATATAAAAGGTTTAAAGGTTTAAAACCTTTTATTTAATGATATTGAATTAAGTTTGACAACTCAAACTTCAACTCTTGAACTCAATAAAATGGAAGAAAAACACTACAAAGATAGTGAAATCAATGAGAGGATTCTTCGTATTTCTCAATCTTTACTTTAAACAAAAATTTGAAACTGATTCCTTGATTCAGTTTCTTTAACTTCTATTGAAGCTAACGTTTGACTTTGAAATTAAAAAGTTATGCAAGAACAAGGTTTGATTCGAGTGTCTAATAAGAAACCCACCTCTGTATACAAAAGAACGAAAGACACTCTAGCTAAGTATTAAAAAATTTACAAAATTCCCACCACACTAGTTAGAAAAATCAATTTTGTATCTTAAAGATTTGCCTTAAGTATAACCTTTAAAGTTCTTAATGATTTAAACCGAAAGATATCATCAACAGTTCACTCCAAAGTTCTCTAATTTTAAAGGAGCAAATTAAAAAGTAAAAAATCTATAGTTTTCTGAAAGAAATTAAATTTACACACAGATAAAAATATGATCAAGAGCGGGTCTCAAATGAATCCAAGATTTTTACCATTTTTTGCCAATCCACTTTATACACACCAAAAAAACCAAGATACTAATGATAATGAAAGATAAAAAAAACCATTAATAAAATAAAAAAAAGACAATCTACTAATACTTTTGTTCCATTTTTATAAAATATATATTTAATTTAATTGATGAATAATGAAAATGAAAAAATCAAGATGTTTGTGTTTAAGGTTCTGGTATTTTTGTATTTATTTTATGCAGATTATTACATTTTTTCACACCTTTCATTTAATTCGATTAAGATTTTTTTTAAATTTTAAGTTCTACTTTTTTTTGCTCTATGAATCCTTCTCTTTAAACATTTTAAATGATTTGTAGATTTTCACCTTAATAGTCTTAAAGTTAACAATAAACGAATGGAAAAATTAAATTTCCTTCTTAAGTTCTCGGAGTCTTCAATTTCAAGTTCAAATGACGATGATCAATATTTCTCTCCTATATCATCCATTAACTCTGCAAGGAATAAAAAATAAACTTAATGCTAGATTTTAGCGGGAATTTGGAAATCTTTTAAGATTATTTCTAGATTTTTTTAACAATTTTAATTTCTAAAAGTCTTCAAATAATCTTAAATAATTGAAAATATTCCAAATAAACCCACTAAAATCAAGAATAAAATAAAAAAAAAATCGTTCATAGCTGTAAATTAATGTTAAAAATATAAAACATCAAAACCAAGCGAAAATAATAATATTCACTCTACTAAGCAGTTTAAAAGTACAAAAAAGTTAATTTTTTTTTCAAGTAACATCTTAATTTATTCAAAATACTTTCAACAATCTCTCCCCCCAGAACACGCAATATAATAATTTTTAGAATGTAAAATATTAATTTTTGTTTTGTAGATTATTTACTTACTCTTACTCTCAAGAGTCATTCATTATCATCGCAGTTAATGGATTTATTAAATCTAATTAGTATGCTGCACAATTCGCAAATGACCTTGTAAAATTTTAATTTGAGTTCTTTGTATATTTTTTTAACACATTCATGTACATTTTTAAAAACTTAATTTTATAGCAATAAAAATATTTTTGATAAAAATAAGTTTCATTAATTTATTTTGTTGATTAATTTTCAGGTTCTTAATAAATTTTCAGTAAACATCAAAAAGTTGAAGAAGTTTTAAAAACTTTTAAAATTATCCTGAGCTTTTTAGCAACTAAGTTATTGTTTTTTCATTTGAAACTTCAAATTTGAAAGCTAATCTTTTTAAAATCAAAATGATTAATTTAATGATTTTAAGTTTTCAGAAATTAATTCTTTTTAATTTTAAAACATTTGACAATTTGAAAAAACAATTAAAGCAGATTTAAGCTTTGCTATAAAATAATGAAAACTCAAAAATACGTTATTATAAAATTTTGAATAAATTAAGTTGCTCAGTGTTGCTAAGGGGACCATCCACATTTCAGAAAATTGAAAATCTCAAAACTTATTAATTGATCTATAATTTACCTAGCTTTATTATCTCAATTCTCTTAACAATTCAAAAAATAAATAAAATGAGTACAGCTTACAGCCTTAAAAGCATGTCATTTAAATATTTTCAACTTTTTCTAAAACTCTCTTAACGTCCGTAAAAATTTTAAATCTCAAGAGAAAATAAGAAGAAGAGTAAATCATAATATTAAGTTAAATCTATTAAAAACTATGTTAATTCACTAGAGTTATGATTAAAGAATTGTTAAAAATTGCTCTTACGTTTAAATTGTTCGAATAGTGGCTAAATTTGCGAATTTAACAGGACATTTGAGATATAAATCACAGAAAATTCATTCCTTAAAAGGTTTGTCTCACGAAAATTTCAATATTGCAAAATAAATCTCGAAAATTCAAATTGAAATTCATGAATTAACATGTTTAAACAAGATTAATCATGTATAATGATTTATTAAGAACATAGTTAACATAATATAGCAGTGAATTGATTTAAAAATATCTATTATTGGATTAAAAGTCTCAATATGGAAGTAACGTGAAAAAGAAAATGCTCAAAAAAAGTGCATCATCGATTATTGTCCTACATTTAAAGACTGAATTTCACTATAATTTTGACTGAGTGTATCTGTGTGTACCTTTCTAATTCACTTAATATTATATTTACAGTGTGGTTTTGTGAGAGTTATTAACATAAAGACGTTTAAATAAGCTGTAAAAGGAACAAGATTTAAGATGATCCATCCACATAATCATCATATGCATCCAATTAATGTATCTCAGCCACCACCTCAACACATGCAACAGCAACAAAATATGTCACAGACAAATCCACAAAGGTAAAGTTAATGAGCATTTTTGGTACTTTTGGATAGAATGAAAAATTTTTGTGACGTTGCAAAAAAAAAAATTGATGTGATTTCTGATTTTGCGCGAAACAGGGAATCATATGTAAAACCAAAACAGTCATAGAAATAATAATCTTAAATCCTTGAGAAAGAAACCTGTTGAAATGCTTCCTTAATGAATGAATTTTTTGGCAATCTATAAAAAAATTTCGCTGACCCAATTAGTATTTGCATCTATTACAGTCAAATCATGTAGCAAAAAAAAATGATGCCTCAAGATATATATGTGTGTACAAAACCAACAATCATATTGTTCCTTCTCTCACCGGAGGAAAATAAATAAATCACCGATGAAAAAAAGAAAACTGGAATTTTTTATTAAAAACAGACATAAAGCTAGCTAGCAGCATAGGAAGAAAAGAAAGATGAGAGAGAGAACTTAGACTTCTTAGCGAAAGTGAAAAGACGAGAAAGGAAGAAGATAAATTTGTATAAAAGGGGGTCAAACACTATCAAATTACAATAGAACTGAGGCATCAACAACAATGCAAATTCCGCTAGAATAATCTTTTATATACCTTCCTTTTTCACTCTCTCTCTCTCTTTACCGAATTAAAATCATGCTCAGGAATTTAATGCGTTTAATATTGTCTGATGAGGAAGCAATAAAAATCGGAAGGGAAAATGACACGTTCTGAAAGCATGTGTAACGCATTTTTCATTTTTAAAAATATAACGGTTTTTGAAAAGTTTGAATTTCTTGAGAACCATACAACAGTTTTCGATCCTGATTGTTTCTCATTGATGTTTGTAAGCTTAAAAAAGGTATTTTGAGCAGCATAAAAATTAATTCAAATCCCTACATGCTTTGAGCCATTATTATTCTTAAATCACAACCTATTCAAACTAAACAAATACTCAGCAAGAAACGAAACCGATATAGAGAAAATACCTGAGACAGAATGACAAACGCATTAGTTTCCCCTATTTGAATTCAAACGCTTATTAAGTGTATGTAGCGGATGTAAAGGATGATCATCTGGCAATGTGATGGCATTAATAGAATGAAACTATTGTGTATGTGCATATGATTTTAAGACGGAATACATGTATATATGCTCTATGTTATCGACCCTAACACCAGCTCTATAATGATCCCCTCAAATAAAACACTATAACATGTTTTTTCGTAGTTGGCAAAAAAAAAAGCTATAAGACTTTGTTAAGAAAAGGAGAAGAAAGGAAAAAAAATATAATTTTTTTTTTTGTATATTCTAAATTTCACGTTTTTGCTTCAAAGAAGTTAGTTGTCTTGCAAAGTAGGGGTTGATTTTTATTTATCATATATGAAAATGAAATGACAAGTAAATATAAAATTATTTTTTTATTATTTCTCATCAGCGCGTCAATTATTTTCATTTTTATATTCATATTTAACACATTTTTGACTATAATACAGCTTGTTCACTTTGTGTGGCTGGCTTAGGCATCATAAAGATCTTGCCTATTAGATTTATTCTGATTTATCTTTGCTAAGCTCGAGCACAGCATGCAACCTGTAAAATCAATTTTAAAAACCCGTTAAAATTTGAATGTTAAAAACCCGTCTAAATTTGCATTTTAAAAATCCGTCTAAATTTGAATTTCAAATGACAGTTAAAATTTGAATCTTAAAATCTCGTTAAAGTTTGAATTTTAAAAAGTGATTAAATACAGCATTTAAACTGATTGTAATTTCTAATAGCTGCAACAAAAATACGCTAAAGTCTTTCAAGTCACACAATGAATTTTCTTGCTTCTCTTTGTCGTCGACGATTGACAATAAATTAAGAGTTTAATCTTTTTTCTATTTTTATTATATTCATATTATAACAATAATAACAACATTTGAGGTTCCTCTCAAAAATTTGTACCTTCAAAGTTATTTTTTTGATGATAAATGACTTTTTTCGTGAATGTCTTCATTTGCAGCATAAAGCAAGGATTTTCGCATATTCATTATGTGAGACTTTTTTTTTGCACTTTTATGACCTTACACACATTTTTTTGACCGTGGACTTTTAGATCATCAATTCTGCCACCACAGCTGCATCACTAGATTAAGACTTTTTTTTTATTGTGGAGCAAATGTCATAAAAATTTATTAAATGTGTGACATAAAAACCAGATTTTTGCCATTTCTCTCTGTGCAAATAAGCATCGTTAAGCGATGAGAAGCATTAATGCCAAAAGAGAGTCCATCGCACTCATCCACTATTGTTTCCAATTATTGTATCTCTCAGCACCATGCGATATTACAATAGAATGGACGACTATTTAAATGTTTTGATTCTTAATTCTCCAGTTTCTTTCTATTTTTTAATGCTTTATATTACAATCACAACTGCAACTCTTGATTCCTCTTTCTTTAGCACTTCGTTTGTAAATTGAGGGGGAAAATGGCTTGCTTTATTGTCTGCACTGTCTGTCTGACTTTAATGTCTATGTCTATGTCCAACATGTTTAATCGTGATCCGTTTTAAATTTGTGAATTCTTGCGAAATTCCTTTTTCGATTGTCTAGTCAAAGTTAGCCTAGCAACAGTGTTTTCATACTATAAAGGTATGGGGTAAATTGTAAGGAGGCAGGTTGTAGCTTAATACTTATTTTAACCGTCAGATTTACTCAAAAATCTTTTTAAATTAGGCATGAAACATGTTTCATCCTGTGGATGGTACAGCCTTGATTCATGGCCTCCTTTTAATGTCACCTGAAGCATTTATTGAACAATTGTATTTATTTTGGTATCGGACCCCCTTATTTTTGATACTCATTGCCGAACTTTCATCCATAAAGAACAATTAATGCTCATTCGTTCTAAGCTATTGCTCATTTTGTAACGCAAATAAGGGAGCCGGTTTCAAAAACTACATATAAAGCCTTTAAACGAGTGATTTCTGCGAGCTCTTGTGAAGTATATGGCATTCAAGAAATTTGGCATAAAATTTCTTATTGAGATTTGAACGCTTGATTAGGGGACATTTGATTATTACTTTAACTTTTTAGACGTGTGTGGGGGGGGGGGGTCAGAAATTCAATGTACAGTCCAGACTTCTTTGTAAGAAAAAATCTTAAAAATTCTTGATGTCGTTCAAAATTTCATATCAGATGCGCTTGAATGATATTAATGCTGAGCATCCTCTACTCGTCCTTTACATTCTTTCTTCTATTAAGGAATAGAAAACTAGTATTGAAATTTCTGTCGTATCATTTGATTATGTGCTAGCAGCGCATTTTATTATACCTTAATTGTTTTTAAATAAAGATCCAGGTATAAACCATTTATGCTTAATTATCTGTTCCTTAAAGACACAACTTTAATAGTTTATAGTTTTTGGTAGGCCATGTAATACATAGCCAGTCAGTCGCTTATATCGAAAGAGACACAATCTATTGTCTCACAACAAACAAAAAATAAAGAGCTGGAATCGCGAAGGGTAAAAAAATATAGAAACGGTGAAATGATGAATGAGTGTGATTCCTTATATCCTTAAAGAACGTTTCTCTCGGTTGCGGTTTGAAGTAATAAATTTTTTTATTAGATTGTTGCGCTCAGTACATTGTCTAATTTCGTATATGATGCATCATAAGGTTTTAAAAATTAATTCGTGTACAAAAGGATTGAGAATTGTGAGAACTTTACGTCCACAAAAGGATATATCATTAATAAATGTCAATATTTTTTTTTGTCCACAGAATGAATCATCATCATTATCAGCAAAGATTGAGTCATCAGCAAATCCAGCAACATCCACAACAACACCATAACAATGGAAATAGAAATTTAAATGGCATTAATCAACATCAAGTTCCTCCATTAATACCAAAGCAACATCTTCATCAAAATATTGCAACATTAAATCAAAAACCACCGCAACATGTGAATAATAATCAATCGTCACAAAATTCTCAAATTCAGCCATCCATCGTGTCGTCGCGTTTGTCTTATGAAAGTATGAATGCAAAACAACATCAACATCTGAGACAAGCATCCAATAAAATTCAAATTTCAGAATCGATTAATAATAACAATTTGAGCGAGAGCAGTTCTTCGAGTGTTCCACATAGTGCAACCGCAACACTTCCGATAAATAATTCTTCAATTGTAACCGGTTCTACTAATTCTATAATCACAGTTCCACCACCTTTATCACATCACCATCATCAGCAAACTAATATTTTGCCAAATTACCAGCATCAGAAGATTGATTTAAGCAAGTCGTCTGACAAGTCATCGACTCCAATTGTGAGTGCAAATAAGGAAAATATTCCCGTCGTGACTGCATCTAGTCTCAATAATTCAACATCATCATCACAAGGCATTATTCTTAGTAATTCAGCCACGGAAATTATATCGGCTGAAAATACTGAGAAAGGAATTGAATCGTTAGCAAATGCTAAAGAAAAAACACCAATGTGCTTGGTTAATGAACTGGCACGATTCAATAAGATTGAGCATCAATATCGTTTAGTCAGTGAACAAGGTCCGGCACATAAGAAGCGATTTACAGTGATTTTAAAATTAGGTGATGAGGAATATGCTGCAGAAGGATTAAGCATTAAGAAGGCTCAACATGCGGCAGCTAAAGATGCAATTATTAAGACATCCTATAAGCATCCACCTTTAAAGACTAATCGATTAAAAAGTTTACAGTCTGCAGCTAAAGGAAACTCTAACATAACACCAACTGTTGAGCTTAATGCTTTGGCTATGAAACGTGGAGAACCAACGGTTTATACTGTCTTAAGTTCAACAGTTAATCCACCCGTTAATCCACAATATGGACAGCAACAAACACCACAATTTAATGGAATTGGACGTGGAAATCCTTATCAAAGAAGATTCAATAGTCAACGAGGTGGTGGGAACCGATTTAATTCCAGTTTTAGTGCTCCTGAAATCTTTCATATTGCACTTCAAGTAGGCACTCGAACATTCTCTGGAATGGGACCGACACAACAAGCTGCTAGACATGATGCTGCTGCAAGGTAAATTATTTCTTACTTCCTTTAATTCCTGATCATTAAAGTAATTCTTTTTTTTTTTGTAGAGCTCTGGAAGTCTTGAAGCCACTCACATCAGACAGTGATATAACCCAAAAGTTATCCACTAGTGGCTCAACAGCAAGCGATTTAGATGATGCTGATGACAGTCTGATTAATTCAGACATTAAGTCGCCAATTTCAATTGTTCATGAAATGGCATTAAAGAGGAAATTGACAGTTTCATTTGAGGTACAAAGCGAGAAAGGTCCACCTCACATGAAAGTATACACAACATTGTGTAAAGTTGGAACAATTGTGGTATGTAGACATTACTAATTGATTCTATTGAGTTTATGTTAAAATATTCATTTGTAGACTGAAGGCGAAGGAAATGGTAAGAAATTATCAAAAAAGAAGGCTGCTGAGAAGATGATGGATGAATTGAAGAAGTTGCCTCCTCCATCGCCTGTTGAAGAACCTATTAATACACGTGGAAACACTAAAGGACGTCGTAAACAGCTAATGACTCAACAACAGCAGCCTGTAAGATATTTTTAACTAACCGAATTTTTTAAATTTGAAATTTAACATATTTTTGAATATTGAAATTTGGGTTCAAATTTTGAACTCTAATTATTCAAATTTTAAAAATTCGTTCAAATTCAAATTCTTTAGAATCGTTAAAAAAATAATAGGCAAAAAGATTAATCATAAATTGCTTTAAGACTTCAAATTTCCAGGTTGTTAAGAAGAAGACTCGCAATTTGATAAAGGAAAAATTGGAGCAAAGTACTAATGCAGATGAAATAAATCCAATATCACAACTTATTCAAATTCAACAAGCACGAAAGGAAAAGGAACCGACGTATGTAGTTGTTGATGAACGTGGAACTGCACGTAGACGTGAATTTGTCATTGAAGTCTCAGTTAGTGGATATTCAGCAAATGGAACAGGACCTAATAAGAAGCTAGCGAAGAAGATTGCTGCAGAAAATCTATTAATTGCTATGGGAGTAAATGCATCGAAGCCTGTAACTGAAACTCCAATTATTGAAAAGAAGAAAATGATCGACATGAGTGATAAAGCAAAGAAGGTTCAATTTAATGAACCAGATGCAGGAAAAAAGACGCCAGCTAAGTCAACTTCTGGAAGTGGCGGTCGTCAAATCGTTCCTGGACTTTTACTAGTTTCAAATACTGAAACTTTTTCGACACCAACGAAACCAGTTGCAACGACTTCTTCCTCAACACCATCGAAGGAAACTAGTTCCTTACAAAGCAACGATCATCCAACAGCAACTGAAAAGCAGTCATCAAGTCCCAACTCGAATGCAAGTAATGCTGACAGCGGAATTGGTGAGAATGGTGTCAGTCCACGTGATCAACTTAACTATCTTGCCCAATTAATTGGATTCTCCGTCTCATATGCTGACTTTCCAAAAGCAAATCACACGGAATTCTTATCCTTGGTCACATTATCGACAGATCCTCCACACATGGGTCATGGAAATGGCTCAACAGTCGACGAATCTAGAGATTCAGCAGCTCTTAAGGTAAGTTTAGTCATAATTAAGGATGTAATTGATACTAATGGCATGTTTCTGTCTTTTCTTCCACAGGCACTCAGTGTTATAAGTGAGCTTGGAATAGATAATGTTAAACCGAAAGGATCAAAATAGTTAAACATAGATTAAACAAAAAAGTCATGAAAAAGAACGGTTAAAAAAGGTTGCAAAAAAGTATAATTTATATAGTTTAACGCAAAAAAATGGAAACGAAAAAAGTGAAAATAATACGAAGAGAAATATTATGTGCAAATATTTTAGTGAATTGATAAAAAAAATATGTTATTGGAATTATTCTTTCAGTGCTTTTGTTTTTTTTTTACATGAACAGTGCTTTTTATTCTCCTTAATCTGCTTATAATATAAAACTATAATTAATATTCTTCATCATAACACTTTGTTTTCATTCAGATTCTTATACTTTATGACTCAATCTAGTGGAAATGTGGACAAAAAAGAGTTTTGACTTCGTTGGATCGACAGGATAAATAAAAACTATTTAAAAATTAGTATTGATTATTATAATTGAATTAATCTTCATTGTGTAGAAATATTTGTAACATGATATAAATTATTATTAATATTATAAAATTATGATTTAAAAAAAAGGAATTCAAAATTAATTGTGTCACAAAGGAAAATATGAATGGAATATTGGGGAGTTGATTTAACTAAGAAGTGTAGAAAATGTAAACGGAAACTTACATTGCGATTCGTGGAAGTTCTATTAAATTCGAGTAAAATATTCGGTAAAAAAATGTTGCTCAAATTAACGGTTTTTTTTTCAAATTTGAAAATTGTAATTTACAAAAAGATGCGAAATTCAAATAATAGAAAGATGCGAAATTCAAATAGTAAAAAAATGCAAAATTCAAATAGTAAAAAGATGCAAAATTCAAATAGTAAAAAGATGCAAAATTCAAATAATAAAAAGATGCGAAAATTCAAATTCAAAAAATCCAATAAAATTCAAATTCTGAAAGTCAGTTGAATTTCAAAATATAAAAATCCATTGAATCGTAATTTGTCAGGACATTTTTGACATTTTATAACGAAATCAGCTCCTCTTAAAGAATATATCTTTGTTTTTTTCTTCTTCTTTATTGCAATGAATTTTAAACATAATGCTTATTAAATGTCTGATTATAACTTATTATCTATTAAAACAAAGAAAAAAAAAAGTGTATGCAGACGTAGCGAAGCTAAATTTAGTGTGTCATTAAAATAGTTTTTGCTTCGCTACGTTTAATTGAAAAATTATATCCCATTCATAATTATATCTCGTATAAGCTTTTCTATCAAACAATAATAACTGATGTATTGTAATATGAAAGCTATATACTTTTAGTATTATAATGATAGAAGAAAAGAAAAAAATAATTAATTAATTTGTTTCTTAAAAGATCTCAATTGTGGATGCTATGAAGATTCCTTTTCGATGATAAACAAAATGAATGGACAAGACTTTTAAGAAACAAATTCAATTGTCTTTACATAAATTAATCGTTTTTTTTTTCTTCAATCTTTTTCTTTTTGATTTAGTTGGAAAAAGGAAATTTTTTAAAAGTAGTCAATAGAAATTTAAACTTCATTAAGTTAAGATTTCTTTTGCTTCAAAATTAACTGTTGGATATGGATTTCTACATTTATGGATCAATTTTATTTTTCAAAATAACGGTTGATAAAAATTTGAAAATTAACAGTCGTGATTTTTTTGAACTCATAATTACATAACGTTTACATATCGTGATGTGTACGTAATTAAAATCGAATCTTAGGCCAGTTTTAAGCATATCCACTCCAAAATCAGATTCGAGAACTCACCACAAAGACATCTTAACTTAATGAATGATAAAAGGAAAGCGGTTGCACATTTTTAAAACTTCTCAATTGAAAAGTTATGACTTTCTTGAGAAAACTTTGTCATTGAAATGATATGAATGATTAAAATTTCCTTTTATCCTGAAAATTAGCCTATACGTATACAAATCTATAAGAAAAAATATTTAAAATAATTGAAAAATATGAAAAAAAATATGTGAGCTTTCCCGGAACATTCAATTTGATGTGAGGAAATTATGAGTAGGTCAAAATTATCAGGAGAACCTATCAATCATTCGTTTAGTTCGTTAAATTTTTTGTTTTATTGTTTCTGAATTTTATTTATTGTCTAATCTAATGTCATGATTCCCGTAAAGAGTTTTACAAATTTCAAAGGAAAAGTTTCAAATAAAACATTTGAAAAACGTTAATTGTGCTTGTTTTTTTCTTGATTTTAATTAATTTTCAGGACGTCAAACTTTAATTGACAGGATTTTGCACGTGACTGTAAATTTAACGGTTAAAAGTTTTTAAATCTTAATTTTACACATCAACTTACACATCAGTTTTTAAAAATTACAAAAAGTTTGTTTACATCGCAAAAAATTCATTTATTTAATTAAATACACTAAGAATCACATTAAAAATGGCAAATGAAATATTAGTAGATGCGTTACCATACTTTGACGTTGGATTTGACGAGGCGGGAGTCCGAGAAATGGTAAAATAAGCAAAAACTTTAATCGTTTAATAAAATTTTAATCAAAACAAATGATTTTCAGGCATTGGCAATGGTTGATGAAGAATGCAGGCGATATAAGCCGTCTAAGAACTATCTTGAGAGCTTGCCACCACTTAATACAGCAGCATTTGAGACGGATCTAATGAAAAATGAGTTCCAGCGTCTAGAAAGTGGTGTACGAATGGAAACAATGAATACAAAAAGGTACGAACTTCCAGCACCTCCAACGGGAAAGCTAGGAGAAATCCAAGCATGGCAAGAAGCCGTTGACAACTCATTTGCACAATTAGAACATCAATCTATAAGATATTTAAATTTAGAACTCTTACAAAAGTATGGATGTGAGGCATGGAAAATAGCACTTGAAGTTTTAATCGGTCTTAGTGCTCGTGCACAAAAGGACTTATCGGAACTAAAGAAAGAAATTCAAGAGATAAACTGGAGAAGAAAATCAAAGCAAATTGATACAGGAGAGAAGCTTAATCGATTAAATCAGCAGTGGGCTCAGCTTGTGTCCTGCAACTTTGAAATAGAACTAGCAATTGAAACAATTTTACAGCAAATTAACAATTTATCTCAAGTCAAAGAGGAAGAAGCTGCTGAAGAAAAATCACCTGAACCAGAGTCAGTAAATAACGAGAAAGTTGAAACAAATGGTCACAAAGAACAGAATGGAAATGGAAGTGGAAATTCAGTCGAGAATGATCAGGAAGACAATCAAGAAGACGAAGAAATGACATAAGTTAATATTCACTGGATCTTTATTTTATAAGGAATGTTTTTAAGGAATAAAATTGAGAGTTCTAAAAGAATATTGATTTCATGAATTAAAGTAGGACTTATTTAAGATTGTTGGTTGATTCTGATGCCATAGCTATGAATATGCTGCTCAGAATGAGAATATTCTAGCAGTATTGAGTTCACAGCATTTTTTAAAAATTCTTAAGCATATCGCATGGCGTAGTAAAAATCAGGTCACTTGAGGAATCTGGCACAACATGCTTGCCTTATAATCGACAGTCACATTTCAGAACCACAATTATAATTGCAGTAAAAAATAGAATAAAATTTTTTATAGGAACTTTTTTTATAGCAAATCAGCCCTTGTAGCAACGTCAACCACTATGCTGCATACGTAAAGCCGTAGATGCCAAAAAAAAGCCAATACATAGAAGTGAATTTGCAAAATCGCGAGAGAGAGATCACACGAAAGAAAATTATTTCCCATAAATATTTTCTGATTTCTCTAATTATTTTCCTCTACTAGAATAGTTTCATTTCTGTTTTAGCAGTTCTGTGCACAAAAAGGCAATTAAAGAAGTATCTAAATTCAGTGAAGAAAAGGTTTCCAATGCGTGGTGAAAATAAGGAAAATATATTGAGTGAAAAAATATTGGCAGAAGTCATAGCCGATGATATAAAAGCCAATCAAAAGTCATTAATTGACTCATCTTCGTGCAATAAACCGGAAAGGAAGGTAAAAGACCACGACATTTGGCATTTAAAGTTTGAATTTTATGATTTTTTGTATTACACAAAATACGTGAGAAAGTGAAAGAACTCATTACGTGGGCGTATGTATGCAAGGAAAAAAGGACTGCTGTATGTCGTAAAGGAAGAAGAAAATCAACAAATGAGGATGACTCATCGTCCATATGATTTTTGTTATTATGCTGCTTTATGTTTGTTTTTTAAGCACATTTTGTACTTTTTATTTTATTTTTATTTTTGTATGTTTTCTCCTTTCCATTATAGTTAATTATTGCATATTGAAAGATTTTATTATTGTTTAATTTCCGTGCATCGAAAGCTTTGTGATTAATAGTTTTTATTATTAAGTGCTTATTTGTAAGAAAAAATGAGAAATGATTCACAGGTAAATTATTGTTTCCATTGCACATTGGGGATGTTCATAAATGACGTATATCGAGACCTCAAACTCACACCTAACCCCCAGTCCTTTTTTGAATACATGATAAACACATGCTAAAAGGCTATCCACATTGTAACCACGCGGACAGTAAACTAATGATTTTGTAATGTTCTCTTGGTTGTCTTGTAACCGACACCCCCCCCCCCCCCCCCCCCCCCATTTAAAAAAAGTATCATTTATGAACGATCCCACACACATTATTTTGCTCTTTTTTCTGTTGCTGTAAATGAAACTTTGCACAACCCGGCATTAATGTATACAAATTATAATTTTTTTCCGATCATTATCTGGTGTATAGATATGGTTCAAAGGCGTACGTGCCAGCAAATTTCGCCACGTTTTCGGATCATCGAGGAAAGAATGTTACACTGACATTAGCATTCATCGTAATGGAAAAGATGGAAATTTAGTTTGCGTCAATCCAAATTTTCTTGCCATTGAGGCGGACGCAGCATTTATTGTAATTCCATTAACCACAACTGGGCGCATTGACTTTCAACGTTGTAAGGTCATCGGACATACAAGTCAGATTTTTGACCTAAAATGGAATCCTTTCAATGACTATGAAATTGCATCAGCATCGGATGATTGCACTGTAAGTTTTATTGTTAAATGCTGACTTCATTTGTCTTGAAGTTTAATTGAATTTCTTCATTTTCTGTGTTAGCATTGTTTTGTGGATTGAATTGATCTTCATTGGCTCACTTTGTCTTTCTGGGTTTCTCATTGTGTCTAGGCTTTAATTGCAGTGATTTTTCATGCTTTGTTCAGTTCCTCGAATCTCTTTATTATATCTAAACAATTGATGAATAATCTTTAAAGTCCAGTTTTAATTGTGAGCAACTCAGAATTCCCAAAAACTCATTGAAATTTTTGTGCTTAATTCATGATCTAATATCATGATGCACTTATTCCCTCGTGTTTCAATTGAGGATGCAAAGAGGAATAAAATTTAAAAAAGCCCCTAAAACAATGCCTCTTAAATTCCTTAAAACAATCCATTCAAACCTAAAGATTATTAATCAATCAAATTTAAATAGTTAACAAAAATGCGCCACCATCTTAAACAAACAGCCTGTCATACGATTGCACACTATTGTTTACATACAATTCAACACATTATCAAGGCGCGATAATTTTTTTGCTTATCGAATTCTTAGTATTTGAACAAGTTTATTATACTTTAAATTCCATTTTTAGATAAAATTGTGGAACATTCCCGTCGGTGGATTAACAAGCTGTTTATCGGATTACAAAGCTGAGTTTCTTGGACATCGTCGTAAAGTCACGCAACTTGAATGGCATCCAACGTGTGAAAATGTTCTCATCAGTATTGGATTCGATAATTTAGTTATCGTCTGGGATGTCTCAATAAAACCATTAAATGGAAATAATATTTTAAAAATAATTGATTGTCATGTTGACCAAATTTATAGTCTTGCTATAAGTCGCGATGGCTCGTACATTGCAACAACATCGAAGGACAGAAACTTGCGTATTATTGAACCGAGAAATGGCATTGTTGTTTCTCAAGGCGCCTGTCATAATGGCACAAAGTGTTCAAAAGTCATCTTCTTAAGTGATGATAAAGTACTTACAACAGGATTCTCGAAGCATTGCGATCGTCAATATGCTATTTGGAATCAACATGATTTGAAGAAGCCTCTTATTTTGGCTGACATTGACTCGTCAAGTGGAATTATTCAGCCGTTCTATGATGCTGAAACAAAGACACTGTATTTGTGTGGAAAGGGTGAAGGATGCATTCGATATTATGAGATTGTTGATGAACAACCTTATATTTACTATTTAAATCAATTTATCTCGGGACAGCCACAAAAGTCTCTCGGATGGATGCCTAAGCGTGCATTAAATGTTGCTTCTTGTGAAATATTCCGCTTCTACAAGCTTCATGCTACTGGCAATGTTGTTGAACCAATATCCTTTATTGTACCAAGAAAATCATCATTATTTCAAGCAGATATTTATCCTGACACATTGTCAACTACGGCTGCTATGAATATCAATGAATGGTTTGTTCTTGGCAAAAATGCAAAGCCTATACTAATGCCCATGCATAGAGAACCATCGAATGAAGTTATTTTAAGAAGAATCACACACATTAACGAAAATGCTGTTATTCGAAATAAAGACAAGAATGAAGAAAACAAAGTTGTTCATAAGCAAACGGAAATAATTGTGGAAACAAGAAACAGCAAAGTAATTGCTGACAATAACATTAACAAGAAATTTGCGTTTTTATCTCATGAAACTGTTCCTGATTATCGACCAGCCAATGAGCGCATTTATAATAAACAAGAAAAGACAAATACCAATCAAAGTACAAAAATTCAACAATTGCAATCGATTTTCGGTCAACAACCAAAAGAATCCGACCATAATAATTCCCCAAAGCATATTAATTCTTTGGAAAATGTTAATCTGGTTCATGCTGAAAATGAGGTTGGTGATTTGATTTCAATTTTTTTGGTTTTTAAAAGCAAATTTTTCAAAATTTTGAACTTCAACGAACTTTTTGAAGTTAAAACGAATTGTTTTTGAAGTTTAACAAATTGATTTTGAAAGTTTTGAACTTAAACGAAATGTTTTAGAAATTTTTGAACTTAATATTCTAATTTTTTAATTGTCTTTAACTTCTTCCAGCTAAAGAAGATAATTCAACAGCAATCTGATGAGATCAAAAATCTTCGCAATCAATTGAAAACTTCTGACAAAAGGATTCGTGAACTGGAATTTGAGGTTAAGAAATTGCGTTTAGAAGTGAAGAACTAAGCCTCAAATAATATTATATCATTTACAATATGATACACCATGCGTAAGGCTTCGTGATGCCTACATTTTATTTCTATTTTATAAGTATATTAAGATTAATTTTGCACGAAACGTGATGACTTATGTTTTTCATACTTTTTATTTGTGATAAAATACGAAGCACAATTTATGTTTATTGTTTAAGTCTTATGTAGGAATGATATGCTAAAAAAAACTTTAGAATTGGATATAAAAAAAATTAATATGTGTTATCAGCTGAGCTTTTAACGTACATCACAAAACAGAACGCGCGTTGTGAGATAAAAAAATATTTTTAATTATTAAGGACAGTCGCTTACTTATAGATGTGTAGGGTTTTTAATCTTTCCTATTAATGATGTTGCAAAGACTTGACAAAAAAAAGAGAATTCCAATATTTTTTTGGCTTTTGACAAAAATTTTATGACAACTTTTGATGAAACTTTTTGCATTTATTAAAAAAATGAGAGAATAATTGAAGAAATCGATAAGACATGGCTTTTTACAACAGTGATGTTCAAACTTTTCTATCCGCAAACTCAAACCTTCAATGAAAAAAAAATTTTTACACTTTTTATTCCTTCACATGCACAGAGGCTGAGAGCTTCAATATATATTTTTTTGGTGTGCATCGAAGGATTCTAATGCTAGAGAAATGCTTAAAATCACTTAATAAGAATGGTTCTGCTAACAGTTTGAATATCTCTGGCTTTTATTCATTCCAAATTTTGACAATTTTAGTTCTCTATTAAATTTATTTGGTCACAAACAGTAAAGACAGAATGAATAGTATTTGATTAGTAGCTCAAGCAAAAATCAACAATTCAATAGATTTAAGGACAACTGTATGCATTGCATAACAATAGAAATTCATATATTTAAGGGCATATAAAGTATTTTTATAATCATATTTTCTGCTACATAATATTTGGTCGATGATGATACAAACTCAATAAATTGAAAAATCATAAGATTAACAATGAGACAAAAACAAATTAATAATATAAAAATGATTGCTGATTTTACGTAGTGATATTAATAAGCTTGATAAAAACAATTATATCCAAAGAGATCAATCATCAATAAAAAGCTTATCAAAAAAAAGAAGGCGAAGAAGAAAGAAAAAAAAATTTGAACAAGTGTTTATTTACTTCTGTTCTAGCGAGACTTATAGGCACTGAATAGATATTTGCTATAGATGAAGAATGTAGATTCTTCAATAGTTTTTGTGTAGCTAAGAAACTTTCTTCATAAAGATCGATTCTACATGAAGATAGAAAATCTAATCTACACAAAGATTATTTCTACATAAAGATTCTGTCTACATAAAGATTCGATGTAGATGTCTACAATTCTACATTTTTTCCAGGTCTACATCAGAGAAGAATGTAGAATTGTAGACATCTACATCGAATCTTTATGTAGACAGAATCTTTATGTAGAAATAATCTTTGTGTAGATTAGATTTTCTATCTTCATGTAGAATCGATCTTTATGAAGAAATTTCTGTCTCAGAATTTATCTGATCCAGACAAATGGCCAGAATGCAACACTGAGCGAGACTTATAGGCACTGAATAGATATTTGCTATAGCCTTGACTCAGACAGAGAGTTTATCGGAAAAATGTCTAATCGGATGTAATCCAGAGTGAATTAAATGCCTCTATGGAGTAATCAACAAGGTTCTTTGCTGAAAATTAGGTGAGGCAACTAGAAGGTCCACGTTTCGAATCCTCCCTTTTGTGGCTTAATAGAATTTTCTATTCCTGTAATGACAAATCAACAAGCGGTTCTGATTCCACTTTAAATTGTAGGTCTAAAGGGTTTGGTACAATAGATTCTTTACAAATTGAATGGCAGTGCCTCTAGCAGAAAGGCTAGGCCCTTCACACATCATTAATGACAAATCAATACTCAGATCTTGAACCAGACATAGTTTTGTATTTAGATGATTTGAATCTTCAAGCTCACATTGAGTATAATCAAGATAACAACCCTGCAAATAATGAATGAGGTATGAAGTCGTTAATTATAATTGAGCAGTAGCTAAGTAATACTACAAATGACATGTTTGTTTGGTACTTGAAGCTGCTTTCAACATATTGACACTTATTCACTATTATCAGTTCATTCAAGTGAATTGATTTTGTTGCTATCGTCGTGTATCATACCCTTCAACTTGTCTATATGCTTTCAGTACTTCAAGTCAACAGTCTGGTATTACATCATGTTCTTAGTTATCGCATTGCTTTCTCGACTGATGTTGAATATAGATTGATGATAAGATAATTGAATTGAGCTGTTGCTTTCACTGAAATCAGATCTTTTTTCACTCTTGACATCTTTGTCAGTCAACTTGATAAATTAAATTGAGAACTTTGAATGCAAGAAACTGAATTTTATATCTTTTTGATTGCAAGAGATTCATAGATGATTGGATTATTGCTAGAAATTTGATTGAGGTTGTTATAGACTTCTAGATTCGAGTTATTAAGTTTTTAAGAATCTGGAGTTTCTTTATGTGTAGAATGTTTAAGGATTGTCCCTCTCCTCCCTAAAAGCATTACTCAATAATTAAACAGCCCCATAGATGATGAATAAATGTCAAAAGTGAGCAATCCCATTCCAAATATCAATCTTGTCATGGCTTTTATCTCAGTTTTGAAAAGGGTCAATCAAAGTTCCTTAATAGCGGAACATTAAATGTGATATAGGATTTCTGTTTTTATAAAACTTTGGTAATGAAGACTGAACAAGTGACACAACAGTGATACGGAAAATTTTCCTGCGTTAAAAGCAGCAACAACAAGCTGTGTAATCTCCTGTCACTACCAGTTGAAAGTGCTGAAATTACAGTTCGCTGTACAGAATAAAGTGTGAATGTTTTGCGGAAAGGAAGGGATATTTGGGATGTTTTCATTCCTTTTGTTAGCAATCTCGCCTTGCTGTTAGCATTCAACAGTTCCTGGTGTTAAAACTCTTCAACTTTGATAACAGATGTCACAAAAACAGTATCAAGATGTATCTGAAAACTTCACTGATTGACAGCCCTTATCTCATCAACAAAAACAAGCAATTCATTTTAAAATGTTACTTCATTCCAAAATGATTAGTTGTCATCTGATACATACACATTAGTATGCAATTATTTATAAATAAACTTTTTATTACAGCATCTTGCGAGCCAATATTGTGAATAAGTCAAATGAAAAATTTATATTTCCGCCTGATTCAGAAAGTCATTAAAGTCATAAATAATCAGATCTCGAATTTCATTCGCACAAAAAAAGGTTTCTTGCGTTCCAATTTCAATCATAACATAATTTTTTGTTCACAGCACGCGAAACCCAAAAAAAAATCTTCCTAAATTGCTTGAAAATGCGAGAGATTTAAGGTAAGGTTTCCGTCCAATCCAATGAATTTTTCACAAATAGAAGACTTACAAATTTCATGGCTTTTACGATAACAGCTCTTTCGTTGACGTCAGCTACAAGTGAATCTCGTCGTCGTTGACATTTTCGATTCTTTAATTTACTTTAACATAATTCTTTGCGTACATCTATAGCCAATAATAATCATTTCCTAAAGCCAATAATTCAAGTACAACTTATAAATCTCTTAGAGATCACCTACTCATAAAGTATGATTTTTTTTTATCCATTTCAAGTCCATCAATCGTTAAACAAAATGACAAATTGGTTCCCATAGATAAATATCTATCCATTTTCATTCGATTCACATTCCTTTTCTAACCAGGCACATGAACATTTATTTTACGAGTGTACGACATTGAATGTCATGAGAATCCTTAAGATAACACAAAAAATTCTCTATCTCATTTAGGTCATTTATTTATCTGTTTAGCCTGCACGTTTTTTTATGTTCGTTCCTTATCTATTTTGTAGTAAATTTGTCAGATTTCAAGGGTCTGGAAAATTGCTTGGGAAAAGTGTGATTTTTAGAGAAGATAGCATGTTGATGGATTGAGTGATTTGTGGAAAGCTTGGCAGAAGTTTCAAGGTTAATTTGTCCCTAAAAGATTGGAGAAATTACTAACAGGGGATTTCTTTTACATTTAATAGTTTGATGAATTACTTTGATTCCGAAGATTTTTTGATAGCTTCAATCTTTAAATACATCACAAAAGACACATTTTAATCCACTTTAGGGCAAACACTGACTAAACGATTGCATTTGAGTCAGTAAACATCAACTTAATAAATTTTAAGAAGAAGTTGATTTTCCCCTAATTTTCAACTCACTTCAAATGTTTAGAGTCAATATTTGACTTAATTAGCTATTGATATAGCTTTAAAATGATCGTAAATTGTAAAACGTTATTGAGCAAACGTATTTTAGCTATAATTACTGTGCATATTGATTTGGAATGTAAAATTTTTATTCCTTTTGAATGAGTTTTGGCGCCAATTTTTAAGATGATTTACAAAAATCTGGCAAAAAGCTACAACAATAAGCAATAAGTCATAAAATCACCAGGAAATTTCTCTAAGGGCATATAGCACACTAAAAATTCCTTGCAGACGTTCCATAAGTTTTCTTGGCTTCTTTGGCCACAGAAAAAAAAATTTATAAAAGAGAAAATGAATCTCCACATATTGCATGCAAACGGCTATTGAGCAATAAAGAAGAAATTCCGTTGAGGCAACGAAAACGACAAGAAAGGCATGCAAAATATTGCAATATTTGTTTTAAAATTCAGAGAAATAAGAAAAATAAAAAATATTTGAAAGAGAAAAGCACATGTTTTATTTTTCAAAGGAATGCTTACATCCATTGAACCCCCATATGTTTATGAATACTTAAGGCCAATTGAGAATGGAGTAGAGTAAAACAAGCATGCGAGAGAAATTTCAAAGAAGAATCGCTTGGTTCATTGATGATTTTATTTACACATTGTATCGGAGATTGTGCAGATTGTTCAACATCTCCGCTTACTCGCCTTACTCATTCATTTTTCGTAGAATGATCAAACAATACTCAATAAATGAATTACGTCATGAGGAATTTTTTTATCCCAGCTTTACTTTATTGCGATATACATTTTTGTATAAGTTGGTGTAAGTATGTAAAGTCGCCTGGTTGGTATTTTCAATAAATTTAATGCACGGTTTTATTGAAATTCTCGCATTATAATTGCAAATGCTTAACATTTAGCTGAAGCATTAATCCCCAACTGTTGCACTTAAAGTATTAAATTAAAGTTTTTTTCTTATTTTTATAAAATAATAGGACTTGTTGTGGCGCTTGTGGATAATCTATGCAATGCAACAAATTGAATCCAATAAATAAAAAATTACTCTCCTACGAAAACAAAGAAGAAATTTTTGTAGGAATTGAATAGAGCTGCGCAAGGTTGAATTCTGATTCTTTTTTTTTGGTTTTGAGAAATGTTTACAAGAATTTCTTAAGAGCTATGCTTGGTATGTAACATGATATATAACGGTCATTTCAAGTGTCTGGAATATATAAATGACATTATTCAGATTTTAAAAATCCTCAAACATAGTCTGCTTGCTTTTAGCACAGTTTTGTGCTTAATTCATTTTACTGAAATTGTAAAAAGTTTCTTAACAATTAAAATGAATTGTTTTAAATTAGTCATGTCTTTTGTAGTTTCCTATTGAGCTTTGAAAATTCGTGAGAGTTTCAAACGTGAAAATAAAATAATGACACTAATTGTAACCATGAAAGATTATTTTGTTCTGATTTAATTAGCTAGCCTTGTCAATTTCATACTTTGCAATTTTTAGAGATCTGAAACTTTGTTTGAAAATCGTTAGAAATCGTTGAATATTGAAAATCCTTATTTAAAAGATGCAAAAATCTGATACGAACAATTCAAGAGTTTCGACCGTTACAGTTTCCAAGAACACTTGTAAAAATGTCTTCTTTGTCTGTCTGCCATGCAAAATTCGAAGTTTCATACCCTGCAGTTCGAAATTTTCGAAAATTAGGAAATATTAAAAACTTAAATTAAGCAATTTTTTCATGAATTTTAGATGAAAATATTATTTTATCATTTGATAATAAGCATAATATAGCTAAATTTGTTTTCAAAACTATCAAAAACTTGAATAAAATGACCAAAAATTGTAACGGTTTTTCAAATTTAAATTTTTCGAACGTGCATATTAAAACACCCCTAGACTTTCGATAAGTCTGTCGAACATGAATTGAACGTATCAGGCAAAAATATACAAAGCTTGGATCCTAAAATGTCAAAAGACGCAAAATCATTCAAAAAAGACGCAAAAACACTTCAACTAGATGCGAATATGTTTTTATGATGCAAAAGTGTTCAAAGTAGTCTTACGTCGTGTTTTTAAACCAATTAGATAAGTAAGATAAGGTAGGAGGTCTTGCATTATAGCTATTCTGCACTTCGAGCAAAGTAAATAAGCTAAGTTTGAACCAAAACACTAATTTAAGTTTTAATTCTAAAATGATGCGGAAATGATGTGAAAAAGTTAAAATTAACCTTTTAACAAATTCAATGAATTCGCAATAACTAATAATAAAATTTAAACTCATGACTATACCGAAATTGCTTCAAAAACAAATTCTTAAAATTGTCTCATTCACTTTACTTGCAAAAAAACACTTCATTCTACATTTGTACAACAAAATTTTTATCACAAAATTACTTCGTCGACATCAGTGATAGTCATTCAAGTGTTTATTCAATCTATTTGCTTTCTAAGAAAATTTTGTAATCAGTATTTAACACACATGTAGCCACACCAGACGACACGAAACACCCAGTTAATCCCACGACAAACTATCATATTAGAAAATCAGTCTCATACCACGTAGTGCAAATGGCAGCACCAATCTTTCCAGATGGTTCAGCATAAAAAACATTTGTTTTGTAGCTTGTTAAAAAAAAGACTTATGCAACAAACAACAGAATTACCGCTCAACGGGAGAGAATTTGCGAAAAAAATGCCATGGCGATGACGATGGCTTTGTATCCAACTATGATGGTAGAATATTCTATAAATAAATTAATTTTTTACATTGAGAGTTCATTTAAGTATGGATAATAGCACTTCAATTAACATCCGGAAAGAGAGCAAAGTTGAATCATTTTTGGGTCGATGGATCTTCTTCTTCATCTTAGGGGTTGTTCATAAATGATGATCTTTAGACTTAGGGGCCGAATTTAACGGTCATTTTTCAAAAAAGAACAATGGATTTTCAGGAATTTCTATTGTTTTTTTCTTGCTGACCCCCCCCCCCCCCCTGGACGTCATGCGTGAACGATCCCTTACCCAAGTGATTATTTTTTCTATTATACCTTGAATTGTCAAACAGCTACAGAGCCTCCAAAACTTGGACATCATTTATGAACACCCCCCTTTTTTTCCTCGTTTTCCCTTTTCATGAAAAAAAGCCCATCTCTAATTTAGATGAATAATATAAAAGAATCGTGAATAATGATGGGCATTTAAAATGACATAAAGGAAGGCATTGGAAGAAATATTTGGGCTTCTTGAATTTATCTTTACACGATGATCTTACAGCACACAGAGGGTATCATTTCAGGTCAGAACATTCCTATATAGATTATTTTAGAAAATAAATAAATACATAAATATGAGAGGAGAAAGAGAATGCATCGCATGACATCATTAAAACGTTATTGTACATTCGATGCATGTTGTTATAAATCTATTGAATGGTCATGAACCATTCAAAATGAACCAAAACATCAAAGACTCACATACGGCGAAGAGAGAACCTGAATGTTTCAGCAAATGTTGAATGTTTTAGTCGCTCAATTTTTTTGGGGCGAGATATTTTACAACCAGTACAAACATTCCATCATATTCAGTTTGCGAGAAACATTCGACAGTTTAAGATCGAACAGTACCAACAGTCCGCAAATATTTAATATTTTGTGTTTTTTTACTATATATACACTTTATTCCTCCTCGTTCGAAGTGATAAAGAAGAAGACACAAGAATCTTTTTTGATTTTATTTGTATACACCATTTTTAGTGAAAATTGGACCGATGCTGTCTTCTTCTTCCGAAAAAGTGTCATTGTTTGTCATCTTATATAAGAATTAATAGCCACAAATTGTTCACTTATATGTGCAACAAATAACAAATAGCAGCAATTACTTAGAAAAGAAGGAAAAAATCAATCGAATAAGGTCAATACAAGTGCAAATTAATAATTGTAAAATTTCACGACTATTTCACATGTACACCAGTTTTAATAGTTACTTTCTGTGTTATCGATGTAGAAAATGAACGTAAAAGTTTATCAGTGAAATAAAAAAAAAAGAAGTATTCGATAACGTCACTCATGTGATGTTCTGTAAAAGTTGAATAAAGCAACTGCTTGTGTGACTAGATATGTGAAAAATTCTTTTTATACGTACATAATATTGATAAAAAATAGTAGTAATACCTAATCGAATAATAAGAAGTTGTGGAGTGTTATCTGATAAGGCTCATAAAAGATAAGGACACTTCAGTGAACAATTTGATGTGAAAATAATAAAAAAATAACACAAAAGAATTCTCTTTTTTTGTATGCAAATTACAATTACGGATATACCTCTAGATATCATAAATTTTTACTTCTGTGCTCTAGTTCCTGTTACGCTGTTCGCGAATACATAAAATAATAATATGATATAAAATAGTCAATCGATAATCATAAAAAATAAAATTATCAACGAAAAATATAAAAATAAAAATAAAGATGAAAATGCAATGGGTCGAGGTGGATTACGATAAGCCGAAGCCTTCGCTCAAGGTCAGTATTGGAAAGTAATTTCCGCTTTTCACTCTCAAACTGGTGAAAGAAGAAAGAAAAAAAAAGAGATAAAGAAAGAAATTCAATTTCCTACAAGCAATTTTTTCAGTGCCATAAAAGTTGATTTGAAAAAGTTTCTCGAACTAGAAATAAACATAAACTTGATGTAAAAGTAACTTCATGACATCAGAAACGGATGTTTGAGGCGAATATTGGCTTTCCTTAAAAAAATTAAATTTCAAAAGTTTAAGATTTTCAAAATTTTCAAAATCAAATTTTTTGAAATTTAAAACTAGAAGTTCAAGTTAAAAGAATGCAAATCTTAAGCAGTGCCAAAATCCAAAAATTTAAAAAAAATCAGTTATTAAGTCAAAAGAAACAATCAAGCACAAATAAAACTGATTTCGCAGAATAATAAAAATTTTATTAGCAAATTTTACGACTATAGTCGCCTATTTTAAATGATAACAAACTCTATACATGATTAGTGTCCATTAACACCAACTCAAAGTCTGAATAAAGTCAACCGTTACAGAGCTCTCGACATTCCACACAAGTCAGACAATCATATTAAAAGCAATTTTCACGCGAAAATGCCATTAAAATGTAGTCATAGAAAAGAGATAATGAAAGAGCAACTGCAAAATGTATCCATATAAGCAGCTGTTTAAATTGAGATCAACCTGAAGTTAATATCTCGTTTTCTTCTATGTCGCCAATTCAAACACTGTATAATGTGACTTGAACTTTCTTGTCTGTTCATGTCTACTCTCTTCTTTCTCCCAACATACCTTATTTATAGATGTACTTTTCATTATCTTCTTTTTTTTTGGCATTCACTTGAAAATTTCTATTCATTCACTTTTATGCTCGGTTATTTCATCTTTTCTTTTGCACTATATGTGTGCCATTTGTATTTATTTTAGCTGTTTGTTTATTCTATTGCAAGAAACAGCATAAAGAGAATCCCATATCCAATTTTCATCGACTCAAATTACCAAAAATCCTCTCAATGTTTATGTTATTATTTAAAGAACCGAAATTATCCACAGAACAACATTAGGCAGGGGCGTAGCTAGATATTTTCTGATTGAGTGGGGAGGAAGAAGTCAAATCTTTCAAGGAATCAACTTTTCTCAAGCATTTTCAATCTTATGGCTAAGGATAACTGCCATATGTAAAACAAGTCAGGATTCGATGGGAATCGATCCTACGACCTCAAAAGAGGATCTCAACCACTAGATCAGAGATTCCTGCCACTCGGCTATCGAGGTTCTTATCTCACTTCGGCTATCTGTCATACACATGCTGCTCATGCCTATCTACTTCAGTTATGCTCTTCAAGCCATATCTACACCGAGGAACCAATTTTAGACCTCATTAAGCTCCCCCTGACTACTCCGACAACACTAGAAATATAATACGAAGTATGACTTGCTGTGTGTATGAATAAATAATCAAAATTTACATTCATTTAACAAATAAAACCTTTTTTTTTATTTTGCAAACCAAACTTTATTAATTTATTAAAATTTATGCAATCACAAGTAGATACATGGAAAGCGATTCTATTACATCAATTAAATTATTGCTGATGCTAATAGCTTTTTCATGTAATCAGATCTGATTTCTCATATTCTTTCCTTATTTACATTACTTCATATTCAACTCTTCAATGCCTCCCTTTCCCTCCATCTTACCCACATTTCCATAAATCTCAATCATCTTCATTGAATGAATGAAAACAGAGGCACAACAAACAAGAAAAGGAAGTTAAGCGATTTTTTTTTTCTTCGTCTTATTCAGAGATTGTTTGGTTGATGTATGTAGGGCGAGTTAAGGCTGACTTATTCACTAATCGAGTGACAGAGGTTTACATGAGATTTAGAATGGATTTTTATGAATAATTAGAGCGTGTGCTTTGTGAAATGTAAGGTCTTATAAATAAATTATTTCCATTCCCAAATCACTTATAGTCTGTGGCTGTAATGGTCTGTAAAGATCTTGATATTATGTCACATAAAATAGAGCTTATTAGAATATCTTGAAGTGAACCAAATCTATAATTTATGTTTTGTGGATTTACATTTCCAGTTTCCCCCCTAAAACCGAGTCTATTGATTTGCTTCATTTCCTCATGTCTATCTGTCAGTAATACAGCCTTGATGCTTGCTTAAATTGCGGATTTTTTTTTGCTTGCTAATAAATATCTTAACAAAGTTATCCCAAAAAGAAGAAGGAAAGAACTTAATCATGAGTGATGCTTATGCATGCATGACTGTGAAAAATTTTCTTCTCAGAAGTCTTCTTCGCTTAAACGAGACAGAGATGAAGGGAATAAAAAGGGCGATAGAATGAGAAACTGACACTTTATGATGATATTTTTCTTCTTTTATGCTTCAAGGCTCTCTGTGAGTATTTATTGTGGTGTCTTGTATCCGTTAATTAACTTTTCACTTCTTTCACTAGAACTGCCTTACTCGCCCAAAATAAAAAGTCAAGGGATTTGTTTATAAATTACGTCCGAAATTCTTCAGTTTTAGATTAATGAAGCTTGTTTCAATGGCTACCTTGAGCTTCCTGGAACTGAAAATCTTTACTTTAGTGCATTAAAACAATGATTGTGATTAAGGTTTTTATTGAAGCCCTAGAAACACGCCTCTGTGTGAGGGTACGGAATTGATCTAGATGATTTTTAATCAGCTTCGCTCTCTAGTCACATTGACATCATTTATAAATAACCCATCGGTTCAGTGCTGATCAAACATTATTAAACCATCCTATATGACGTCATTAATGAACAAACCCCAACATTTTTTAATAAATTTTTTGCAATGCCACAAAAGCTGTGCAATTTTGTGTTTTTTAAGAAAACGTAAAAAAGAGAAAAACAGGTTTTACCACATCATCATCATAAAACTTCTCTGATTCATGTGCTTTTTTATAAAAAATTTCTGTTCCTACTTTGCTCCCCATTTGAATTAGTAATGAAGACCAATTCATATATTCGTGAATAGAAGATAATATATAATGTTATTATTATTATTATGTTGTTTTAGTTTATATTTTTGCGAATTTCTTAAAACTTATTGAATGGGTTAGTTAATGAACTGAGTAAATGTATAATTAGTTGAATGAACTAGCATTTGTTTAAACGTTATATAAAAGCGAGAAACACAAAATTTGTTTCTTATTCCGCTATACATACGTATTTACAATTAAGCTCTAAGAAAAGTAGCTAATAAATTCGAAAAAAAAGTATGAATTTAAATTAAATTGAAAAGAGCTACTTTCTTTGTATCGTTTTGTTCAGCTTTTTTTGCGCAATTTGCAAACAACGACTACATGCGCTTTGCAACGTTATGACGGGTTTTTTTTGACATTATCTTGAAATCAAACAAATTATATCAGTTGGTGTGTGGAACAACTTTATTAACATGACTTTATTTGTTGACTGTGAGCGATAAAAAGTTCACATTCCAAACTGTGATTTAATTTTCCAAACTTCCGCTTTCAAAAAACCTTTCATATGTTGCTGTTGAGATGTTTTCATCTCATTCAAAACGAGAATTTCCGGTAAATAATTAATCAACAAAAAAAAAATTCCATTAAAAATACAAACAACATTAAGTACATTCCTTATTTGGCAGCAATATCATCATTGCGAGTTTCAAGTTCATGGTTCAGTTACAACGAACATGCATTTAGGCTATTTCACTCTCGAAAAGTATATTTTTCATTTATCATAAGGGGTCGTTCACTAATGACGTCCGAAATTAATGGTCATTTTTCAAAAAAGAACAATGGATTTCCTGGAATTTCTATTGTTCTTTTCTTGCTGACCCCCCCCCCCCCCTCCCCCCTGGACGTCATAAGTGAACGACCCCTAACTTATAATGCTTAAGTAATTTATGTAAGAATGTTGTAATTTTAATGAAATCTGATAATTTTTAGCGCGAAGAGAAAACGTTTAACGAATTTTCTCATGTTACATGAAGTTAATTAACATATGGCTGCAATTTGTTGACATATTTCTTTCATCTTTTTATTTTTTATTTTTCAAGTATGCCGACATATTTCTTATGAAGTCTATTCTCTTTTCTTTTCATTTTTTTCACGTCCAACAAAACAGAACGTCAAGGCAAAGGCACTTTATGACAATTTAGCAGAGAGTGTTGACGAACTTGCATTTCGTAAAGGCGAAATTCTTGATGTTATCGAGCAAAATGCAGAAGGAATGGATGGTTGGTGGTTGTGTTCATTGCGAGGCAGAATTGGACTATGTCCTGGCAACAGACTACGAGTCATTGATTATGAAACAAGTTCATGCTATACACCAACATCACCGCTTTCATCGCCATGCTCTACATCTATGAGCATGTCTGCATCAACATTGACATTTTCTAGTCAAAATTCGAATACAAGTGAATTGTACGAGAATACATCGAATAAAAATTTCAAAGGAAAGCGACGTTCATGGCATATAAATCCAAACAAAGTGAGTATAAAATAAAAAATCATTAATTTTTGCCTGCCTGCTCCTTCTTTTTCTTTCCATGTTTTTTTTTATATATTTATTTCATTATAAATTGAAACTATCCCAAAAATTTATGGCCTTTTGGCTCCTTCTCTCAAACAATATGTTATTGTTGCCTCCGTCGTGCGTGTGCCTATGCCACTTTTTTCATTATTATATATTTTTTTGTTCACTACGATACATTCCTTTTTTTCATGTTTCGCTTTTGATAAGCCCAAGGAAATGAATATTTTTTGTATATGTGCGTTTGTTTATAGCCTTAGGAGGCAATGATCGAGAAATCTTCTGCCCCAAATATACTTGCGCAGATAACTTCGCCTACATGCGTTTCTAGATATTATTATACATAAAATATTTATTTTTTTTTCTTTTTCGCCAAAAAGGAAATAAGTAAGGAAGTCATTGAAGGAGGATTACTTTTTCACCCTTAATCTGTGTTGTTGTTCTTAACAGCACATGCAAAACATAAATTTAATAATATTCGCAAATTCTAATGGGAATGAAACAGCAGATTGCAAAGTTACAAAGAATTTTTAAGGGTATAAAACATTCGGGATGTTTATGAGTTTATAACTTTTAATCTAAAGAATTATAAAAAGGGAGTTTTTACAAATTTTTCTAATTTAAATTTTTTTTTTGGGAGGATAATGTACTCGATTTGCCACTTAATCATTGTGTGAGGCTGCTGCTTGGGATTCAGTTCATGTTGGTTTATTTCTTTTTTTATTACATGTGATTATCCTACTTAAATATTCTCTTTGCTGATGCTGTTTGTAATAGATTGCATGAATATTACGAGTTCCACCACGTATTTTGTGAGATTAAAATCATTTTTCATTTGCAGTTTTTTTTATGAATTCAAAATTTAGCAATATTTTAACTAGTTGCTATCTTCTTGCAAAAAAATGGCGCCGAAACTTTATGAATTCCGAAATTCTCACCAAGAAAAGACGTGTTTGAAAGATTCACAGCAATTTTAGACATTTTAGCAAACACGCCATAATCATATACTTGCTTAACCGCAAATTAGGATGCTTAAAAGCTTTTAGCGAAAAAGGTAAAGAGCAATTTTCTAAATTCATAACAAATGTCAAATTTTTTCGACCATAACGCCTTTTATAATCTTCTAAATTGAAAGACGACCCCAAACAAAACCGTAATTAAATAAACATTCGTTCATTCACTGATTCATAAATACATCAAGCTTCATAATAATCCCAAGGCGAAAAACTCAAATAAACAAAAGTAAAACCGTTTTAATATCAGAACATCCAGTCAGTCAAAGTGGTTGAAAAACAAATCCACAAAAGAAGTAAGAAAGGAACAAAATTATACGTTCGCTTTCCATCTACCACCATTATGCGTGAGCAAATAGTAGAAAGCAAGCCAAACGACGTGTGTAAAACATTTCTATGCTATTTATTATGATACACATCAGAATAAAAATATATGAGCTCATATATAGACATTATCAGCAGATGTTTCTTACCATCCAGCATATATCCTAGATATTTTTTTTTTAAAAAATAAAAATTGAGGAAAAATTTCAATAGTTTTTAATGTGGCACTCAATATTAGACCCTTAATTTGTTGAAAGAAGAAGGGAATGTGAATGATATAAAGAAAAGAAGAAGAGGATAGACAGAATAGATAAATTTGAAGAAGAGCTGATGTACTTAAAAATGTATGTAATGCTATATTATCCGTAAACATCGTTTCTACAGAAACTTAAAATTGTCCTCAACTGTTGTGCTCACTATAAAATAATTTATGGCAGTGACTTTAAAATTTCATTGTATCCATTTTCTCGTTCTACATTTTATTTTTTTGTTGGGTGAGGATGGAGAAGTGACTAATGGAAAAAATGTTCATACCTAAATAGAAAATGAGATTATAAATAAATTATAAATCAAGCATCACATGGCACATGCACAAGATGACGGCAGATTGTAGATTGTGTTGTTAACTCACTTAATGACACGTGCAAATATTTTAATTAGAATTTTTTGAGATTTGTGGAAGTAAATAGTAAACACTTTGGAGGAGTGCTGTTGACATAAAGTTTGACACTTTTATACACAAATTTTCTGTTAAATTATTTTTTTTTAATTTATGTGTGAACATATTTCATTTTTAATGCGAAAAGCCGTACATGTATGCACATACTATAAATAATTGTGTACAATACAATTCTTTAGTAGGGAAATATGGATAACAAATTTAAAAAAAACAACAAGCGAGAGAAAAGAGAAGAATGAACCTGATACCTGTTCTGAATAAATAAACAAGTAAGAACTGCTATAAAAGGTAAACTTTAAAGTCAGACAAGATGCAATTCCGAAAATGGAATATTTTTGTGACGAGGAATTCTTTTTATATTATTTTGTCGTATGAGGATAGGCATCATTCTTTAATTACGTCCACCATTAAGAAGGAGGGTCTGAGGTCTTTAACGGAGTTATTTTTTGGAGATGAGTTCTAAAAATATATAACTTAATGGACGTCATGTAAGAAGGACCCCCAAGACGATGATGAAAAATGAATCAAAAAATGTTGACTTTTCATCCAGCCCAAAAGAAAAGAGCGGCTTTCCGTAAATGGTATTCAGTTTGCGTCTCATTGCTTCTTTCTCTTATTTTTTTACGGATGCAAGATATGAAAATCCTGTTGATACGACTGTCAAAACACATGTATAGGAAGGACTCGAAGCCCATATCAATAGCAATATACCATCCTTATTGTATAAATTGAGATAAATAAAAGAAACATGGAAATTTTTTCGTACGTGACGCATAAAATTTAATTATCATGATGATGGTGTGCATGAGAGGCAAAAGAAGCGAGAATGAAAGTTAAATGTTGATCCGTATTTTTTTTACGTTTAATGCCGAAACTGTACAAACAGAGCGTAAAAGGGATTGTATTGAGCGTATAAAGAAGGATATTAAAATGTGTGTAAAATTCTATTCATGCTATGCAGCACATGCGCATACTAGATTGCTCGTTGCCTCTCTCTTATAGCCTCATTTTTTTTTTTTGCTCACATAAAACTTCTTACCATTTCATTCAACAATCGTTCTTTTGTAAGCGAAAGTAGAACATTCAAAAACGCCAATTCGCATTTTCATTTATTTTTCAAGTGCCATAATTTATTTTTTATTCATTCTCTTCTCGCATTTGACGTGACTCAATGGTTTTAATTTTTTTTTTTCTTTATCTGATTGTAAATTTTAATTAACAGTATACACTCACTCTTCGGTAGCTGAAAAATTGTCAAAACGCACAGCAGAGAATTTAATTCTCTTTCGAGACAATTTTTTTATACGATTTATCGATTTTTTTGTGTTTCTTCGCATTCATCCTGAACTGTGAACTACTCAGTTTATTTTCATTTCGGTGTGAGTAACATAACAAGATAAGAGAAGGAGATTTAATTGCCACTGATTTAATTTTATTGCTTACACAGCACATTCTAGTTAATTTTTAATTTTCTCATCTAGAATCTCAACAAAGTAATTTAATTATGCCTTTATTCTGCTTCTTTCTTCTTAGGTCATAACACCACAAAAATTTGGAGACGTATATTTGTATGATTTGCTTCCTTCAAATGCAAATAGTCGTCTTAATAGTCCCGGACCATCATTGACTTCATCATTTTCATTTGATGCTGATAATTACGACATTCCAAAGGCAGCTATTCCAGTCAATAACGATATTATTCGTCAACCAAGACACCAAGGAATAAGTCGTCATTCAGTATTATCTACGTCGAGTACAGCCACAAGTCTATTCAGTAGAATGGATGATTCATATGATGTACCGCGTTCATCAAGCAATTTAGGAAAGATGACACCAAGCAGCTCAAACTCATCGTTGCTTACATCCGATAGTCTAAGTCTCAGCTTCTCATCATCAAATCGTTCATCATTGGCCAATATGCCAGACTATGACATTCCACGTAAACAGCCAGTGTCAATAAAGAGAACTCCACCACCTCCACAGTCACAAAGCATCCTCTCACTAAAGTCACTTGATCTCAACTCTGAAAATTATGATGTGCCCAGTCCACATGCTAATATTCATTCACCAAAGAAATTAGGAATTGTTAAGGAATTGCCATTGGAATTATCGTCAGCACTTGATACACTGTCGAGGCTTCAGAATGAAGCAACAATCGGTGTTACAAAGTTACTTTCATTCGTTAATTCACAATGGCGAACCCGTGAAAAATTCGAGCCAATCATTATGGATGTTAAATTGGCTGTTGTCCGATTAAAGACATCCCTTCATGATCTCGCTGAATTTGCTGAAGGTTCTCTTGGAAATTCATTAAAGACAGAAGATAAGAGTAAGATTTAATTAATTTTAATTGACTGCGATTGAGTGACTAATGACTTAATTCCAATTTTAGATTTATCAATAAAATTGCGTCCACTAGTAAAGGCTCTTAAAGATGCCGACAAATTAATTCATGAGGCATGTAATGCACTAGACGCACAAGGCTGGAATATTGAATATTTACAACGATTGGAACAACCAAAAAATAGTAAAACTAAAGCAACATTACCTCCAGACTCACTTGATCAACTAATTGTTGTATCACAAACATTAACCGAAGACATACGTCAGACATCATCCTTTATACAAGGAAATGCATCATTATTATTTAAGAGAAATGTCACAACTCCATCGACACCAGTTAGTCAAGGAACATGGCCAGAAGATTCAGACTATGTATCATTAGAGTCTGAAGAGAATGTAGCCAAAAAGAATGCTGAAATTCGTAATGCACTGCCAAATAATTTAAAGCATAATTTCGATAAAGTCGTTAAAAGTGCTGAACTTGGAACTGACATGAATGAACCGCTTGATCCAAATGATAAGACAGTTCTATTGTACTATACAACTCAATGCTGCACACACATCAAGTATCTTACACAAGCAATTGATTCATTTTTAAAGACAGTCGAGCACAATCAACCACCGAAATTTTTCTTGGCATACGGCAAGTTTGTCGTGTTGAGTGCACACAATTTAGTAAATATTGGTGATATTGTACATCGTAATGTAACAAAGAAGAATGTTAAGGCACGAATTCTCTCATGTGCAGACTCATTGTCAGAGTCGCTAAAGACATGCGTCATGAAGACAAAGAAGGCAGCTCAAAGTTTTCCGAGTGTAACTGCTGTTCAGCAAATGGTCGACTCTGTTGTCGACATATCACATTTAGCCAGTGAATTAAAACTTGCTATGTTGGAAGCTGTTACAATTCCATAAATTGTTTTTGGATAAGGGGCTGTTCACTTATTACGTAACGCGAAAAAATGACTTCTTAGACCCCCCCCCCTCGTAACAAAATTTGTATGAAAAAAAAAATTCCTTGTTTGAATCGTAACAAAATCTTAGACCCCCCCTCCCCCTAAAAGCGTTACGTAATAAGTGAATGACCCCTAAGAATTTATATTTTTGTTTTTGGTATTAAAAACGCACATTTATTTGATGACAATTTTTTAATATCGGATATACCTATATGAGGAAAATCTTTTGCAATAAAATTTATAACAATTTAAAAAAAAACAACATCAATTGAGTTGATTCCAAACTGCCAAATAGTTCCTTTATGTGATATGAAATAAGCTAAAATGATACCAACCCAATTCATAGAACACGAGACAGCATAATATTTTATAATAGGACATACTTGTACTTATCATTTTTAATTAAATAATAACTTTTGATATAAAACATATTATTAAACAATTTATAGTTATCTGTAGACACAGAATGAGATCAAAAAATGGAATTTGAAAAGGAAATATGAATAAAGTTATTGAACGAAAAGAATATTGCCTGTTTTTTATTTAACGGTTTTTTAAGAATTGAAAATTTTTTAACGAAGAGGGAGTTTTTGAATTTATTGCTGTTCTTGGCTGCTGGTTCTTCAGTTTTTAGATATGCTGGCTATGCATTGAATGGCTCTTGTTATAATTATGGTGAATCTAACCGTTCATACATCTGCTCCTGTCTTAAAAATCAAACGTCTTATATCCAATTAAGATCTTATATCGATTCTTATATCCAATTAAGATCGGAAATGGACCCCGTTCCCCAAAACAGACTTAAAAGTAGGACATCATTAATGAACAGCCAAGTTTTAAGAACGGAACAATGATCAGCTTAGCACTTGCTCAGCACCTATGTGTTGACACTTTTCAATGAAATACTGACTTCCCTAATAACATCCTTCAAAAATCCATAAGAAATTCTTGATAATTCCAAGAATCATAGCGAATTGAAAGATAAGACAAGGGAGTTCATAGTAATCTCATGTAATGAAAGCTTCATCCTTATGCGTTGACAGAAACAATGAAAATGAATCTATTAATTCATTATTCTATTTTTAAAAACTTCCTTCAGTGCAAAATTATCGATTGACAGATTCAGGCGTGAAATAAAACGTAAAATGATCGAGTCACAAACAATATGTGACCCTCCAAACGGAGGGTACGGTTGGGTTGTAGTGTTTGGTGCATTGTTAATTAATATGTTGAATAGAGCAATCTTTTCAGTGTTTGCATTGCTCTTTGGACCATTCTTTAGTTCCATTGATGTGACACAGTCCGAAATTGCACTTGTGATGAACTTGACAAGCTTTTTTGAAAGCCTTGCATCAATTCTTACTGGTGCTGTTCTAAAATTCGTTACAATCCGACAAGTTTCTGTCACTGCGTGCTTCCTTACAAGTATTGGACTTGTATTGAGTGCATTTACTGTGTCTTTATACCAAATAATCCTTACATTCAGTGTTTTAGCTGGAATAGGATTCGGATTATTGAATAATATAACAATCGTAGCTGTAACGTCATATTTCACGACAAACAAAAGAAAAGCTATCAGCTTCTCATCAGCAGGAACAGGTAGGTGATGCAAGGATCAAAATGTCAGTAAATATTGATTTACACATCTTCCTTATCAGAAATCGGACAAATTATACTTCCACAAGTTATAAAATATTTAAGTAATCAGTTTGCTGCCAATGTGTCTATAATGATAATGGGATGCATTTTGCTCAGCGGCGTAATTGGTGCGCTTTTATTTCAACCTGTCGAGAGACACTGGAAGTTTAAAGATATTGATGAAACTCATGCATTGATTTCTAAGCCTATAAGTACTAAGAGTGATAAAAGCATGTCTTTATGGAAGAAAAGTGTAGATACGTTGGACTTAACACTGTTAAAGGATGCACGTTTTGTTATTTTGATTATTGTTTTGGCATGTAACTATGCAGCTTCTATGGACTGTGCTTTGATCTTTCCATTTTTCTTGCAAGTGAGTAGATGCTCTGATTGAACGAGCTTTACACAATATATAAAATTGCTCAGTTGAATAATTAATTACTTCCAGGAGTCAGCAAAATTGGACAAAAATCAAACTGCAATGTGCTTATCAGTTTTGGCGACATTTGACTTGATTTCACGAGTGACTTTTCATTTTCTGACTGATTGGATGAATCTTTCAAGTCGTCAAATGCTTGTAGTTGGAATTATTTTCCTCAGCATTATTAAAACGTGCTTAACGTTCCTAACGACTTATGAATCAATCCTTATAGCATGCTCAATTTATGGATACATCCGAGCAATAGTAACTGTGAATAAAATCCTAGCCATCTCTGAGCACTGTACCAAATACTATCCGATGAGATTTGCTGGTGCTTTAGGCTTAAAATTAGTCTTCTTTGGGATTTTTGTATTAATTTTTGGACAGTTTTTTGGACTGTTTAGAGACTATATTGGTGACTTTTCTTATAGCTTTTATTTAGAGAATGTTCTCTCTGTATCTGTATTAATTGTTTGGTTTATTGAATATTTATATTATTTAAGAAGATAAAATAATTTTTTAAAGCTGATTGAAGCTTAATTTGCCTATAAAATGTGATAATAAATTTCCATAAAAATAAATGATGAAACACCGTTAATTCAAACGATTTTTGAAAATTTAAATTTGAATCTTAACGAAAAGGGGGTCTACAATTTTTAAATTTCCATTCAACGGATTTTTTGTATTGTGCGATTGAATTATACGATGATTTAAAGCTAAAGTTGATCTTTCTTACGAACTTTTAGAGACTTCTACATTTTAATAGATTGTAAGAAATTCAAAAAACTGTCAGAATTGAAAATTTAAAAACATTAATCCCCTCTAGTTTGTTGTGTTGTTAATTATTTTAATTATTTGTGATATTAACATGACATTATCAGAAGATTCTTCAAGTAATACTAATCGTTCGACTGCAGACGATACATTTAAAATATTATTAGCAACAGACATCCATTTGGGATATAATGAAACAGATCAAGTTACAGGCAAGTAAAACTTTTCATTTAAAAAAGGCGCAACTTTCATAATTTTAAGTAATGTACTTATTTAGGCGATGACTCCTTCAATACCTTTGAGGAAATACTTATGCTTGCTAGTAGCCGTGATGTAGACTTCATATTATTAGGTGGAGATTTATTTCATAAGGCACAACCATCAGCAAATACATTAAACCGGTAAGTTCATTAAAACATACTTTAACTAAGTTAATTAATGATTTAATATACCCAGATGCATAACATTGTTACGTGATTACACATTAGGCGATAAGCCAATCAACTTTACTGTGTTGAATCAAAACTTCAATATGTCAAGCGGAGTCAATTTCAAAGATCCAAACATGAATGTGTCATTTCCAGTCTTTTCGATTCATGGAAATCATGATGACACAATAAACAACTTGAGTGCTATGGATATTCTTAGTTCCAGTGGATTAGTCAACTATTTTGGAAAGTGGCAAAGTCTTCAAGAAGTTGTTTTGGATCCAATACTCTTACAGAAGAATCGAACGAAAATAGCACTTTATGGACTTAGTCATATTCCTGATCGTCGCTTATTTCATTTATTCAAAGAAAAGAAGATTGATATTACAATTCCAAGTGACGATGAGAATGAATACTTTAATATTCTCGCTTTGCATCAAAATCGTGCTGATCGTGGTGCCAAAAATACTATAACTATGGATTTACTTCCAAAGAACATGAATTTAGTACTTTGGGGTCATGAACATGATTGCCGTATTGAACCAGAAGAATATAATGTTGTTGGAACCGATGGAAATTTAAAACCAAGATATGTGACTCAGCCAGGATCGTCTGTAGCCACTTCATTATGTGAAGGTGAAGCAATTGAGAAAAAAGTTGGAGTTTTGTGTGTCCATTATGATAGGAAACTTAATGAACCTGTCTTTAAGATTAATACAATACCTTTAAAAACTGTTCGTCCATTCATTTTTAAAGCAATTGAGTTAAAGAACTTTGAGGATGAATTACAGCAGATTAAAGGCACTGAGAAGGAGAAAAGTGAAAAATTCCTGGAACAAGAAGTTGAACTAATGATAAATGAAGCAAAAGCATTATGTACTGGACATCCAAAGCAAAAGACATTGCCACTAATTCGTTTAAGAGTTCAATTCGATGAAACTGATCATTTGCTTAATGTTAAGCGTTTTGGACAGAAGTTTGTTGAGAAGGTTGCAAATCCAGGTGATATTTTGTTGTTTAAGAAGAGTATTAAGCGCCTTAAATCTGTTAAAATTAATATTGATGATACAGAATTAAGCAAGGCAGTCTCAAAACGTGAACAAGTTGATCGAGTCGAAGATGTTGTTGAGAAATATTTCAATAGCTTGTCTGACGATCGTGATAAGATGAAGCTATTTAATATTAAATGTGTCTCTGAAATGTGCCGTTTTATTGTCGAAAAGGATAATTGCAATGGTGCTAGTGAGATCCTAAATTATCAAACTAGTGAAGCTTCAAATTTCATAAATGTTCATTTAAAGCATGAAGATCAAACACAAGAAATAATCCAACAATTCCGTGATGAGAAAAGTTTAGAAGTATTTGACATGTCAATTTCTAATATTTTATCATCAAAGAAGCAATCGACAGCACCTACAACATCATCTGCTCGATTAAATAATAGTGATGAGGAAATGGATGATGATGATGAGTACGAACCTGTTAAACCAAAAGCTACTCGTGGACGAGGCCGTGGAAAAGCCCCAAAAAGTTCACCAGCTGCTACAACTCGTGGGAAAGGAACTAAGGCAGCTGCTCCTAAAACAACTCGAGGTAGAGGAAAAAATTCATCAGTATTTGGAACCAGCATTGCACAGCAACTTTCGATGCGACAAACCCAACAATCTTTTGTAATTGATGATAGTGATTAAAAGACGCATTTAAAGCCATAAATGGGTACATTTAAGATAATGAAGAAGAATCCAAGAATTAGCATTTAAGTCCATGTTTAGTTATATTTATTTTCAACTAAATAACGAGAAAGAATCCAATAAAGCCTTAATATTTTTGTCTAAAATCATTTCATGCCTATCAAGTAGAGATCCCCCTTGACGTCACTAAATCAATTAGTCTGCATGCATCGTTTAATTTTGTGAGATAATACTCATATTATTTGTAATTACAAATCACACACATGTAGCTGATAAAGATGCATTCTCGGGATTTAAAATAGAATTAATCATATTGCTTATTGGAACTTCATATTGTTATGTGTGTCGACCGAATGTTTTCTAGTCCTAGAAAACTATCAACATTGATCGTCACTTTCCAATCTCCTTCAGTCTAAAACTATCGATCGGCAGATTCAAGTGCGTAATAAGCAGTAATAAATTAAATGACAACATCTAAAGTGATTTTGGAACCTCCAAACGGAGGGTACGGCTGGATTGTTGTGTTTGGTGCTTTGTTAATTAACATGGTCATCAAAGCTTTCAATTCAGTGTTTGGATTGCTTTACGGACCCTTTTTTAGATCCATAAATGTCGCTCAATCTGACATTTCACTTGTGATGAATCTTTCTAGCTTTTTTGGAAGTCTAGCATCAATTTTTACGAGTGCTGTTCTAAAATCATACACAGTTCGACAAGTGGCAGTGACTGGATGCTTTCTAATTAGTATTGGAATGACATTAAGTTCATTGACTGTGTCTGTATATCAAACAGTTCTTGCATACAGTGTCATAGGTGGTTTTGGGTTCGGATTATTGGTCAATACGTCACTTATTGCTGTTACATCATATTTCACGACCAACAAAAAGAGGGCTGTTAGCTTTTCATTGACAGGAACAGGTAAGATTAAATGTAACGTGAATGACACCTTAAATGAACTCAAAAGAGGCAAATGAACTTAAAATAAGACATGCACAAAAAATTAAAAAAAAAATCCATATCCAATCAGGAATCGGACAAATATTACTTCCACAAATTGTTCAATATTTGAACAGCAACTTTTCAACGAATGACTCAATAATGATAATGGGAGGCTTGATGCTCAATGGAGTAATAGGAGCACTTTTATTCCAACCTGTTGAAAAGCATTTGAAGCCGAGAACGATTGATGAAACTCAGTCATTGACATCGATGACGCCCATGTCAATTGACATTCCACCTGCCGTAAATGAAGACAATACATCGTTTTGGAGGAAGTTTATTAAAACAATGGACTTGGGATTGTTGGAAGATTCACGATTCATCATTTTGAATTTTGTTTTGGCTTGCGGCTATGCAGTCGCTACTGATTTCATGTTGATTCTTACATTTTTCTTAAAGGTATGTGAATCATGCTTTGGGGTCGTTCAAAAAATGATGTCCAAATTTTTATTTAATGGGTTTCTCGGGAGAAACTTCCTTCTCTCCTATTAAAGAAGTAGAGTGAACTTGAGGATAAATGTACATCATTTGTGAACGACCCCATTTCTATTGAATACCTTATAAAACTAATTTCCATTTTTAGGATACAAAGAAATTAGAGCCGAGTCAAACAGCAACGTGCTTATCAGTTTTAGCATCATTCGACTTGATCTCAAGACTAACATTTCATTTCATAACAGATTGGACGAGCCTTTCAAGTAGGCAAATTCTAGTCATTGGGATCTTTTGTCTTGGAATAATAAAAACCACTATGACGTTCCTTACAAGTTTTGAATCTATCCTTTTCGCTATCTCAATTTATGGATACTTTAGAGCTGTTGTGATTGTTAATCAAATTATTGTTCTGTCTGAGCATTGTGCTAAGTATTATCCAAGGAGGTTTGCTGGTGCTTTAGGCTTAAATATGGCATTTTGTGGAATTTCTACTTTAATTTTTGGACAGCTTTTTGGAGTATTTAGAAATTATGTCAGTGACTTTTCATACAGCTTTTATTTGGAAGACATTTTCATCATTTCTGCCATGTCAATTTGGTTGATTGAATATTTATATCATTTAAGGAACTGAATAAACTTTATAGTCTTAATTTGGGTAGTTTTTATGTTCTTACTCGTCGACTTCACGTTCTGCATCAACTGCATTTCAATAATCTAGAAGCCTCGCCTAGCTTTGCGTTTACGTAGAAGTCTGACAACCTTACTCATCATCAAACAGAGATTCCCGTTACGTCACTAATTCAACTAATCTAAAGTCTCGCTTAACTTCACACACAGTTGTTGTTTACTACTCGCACAGCTGATAAAGATGCAGCCTCAGAATGCATAATCAAATCATTAACCCCTATTGAAATGACATAAAACTTGACACTGCGCGATGTTATGTATTGTAGAGATAATGTTTTTCCTTATTCGTGTCCTAGCAATCAATTGATCATGATTTTCTATTCTCGATCAGTCTTAAACGATCGATTGAAGGAATCAAGTGTGGAATAGACAATAAAAATTTAAAATGATTGAGTCAAAAGTGATTTTAGGGCCTCCAAACGGAGGGTACGGTTGGGTGGTTGTGTTTGGTGCATTCCTAATTGATATGTTTAATAAAGCCTTTTTCTCAGTCTTCGGATTACTTTTCGGACCATTCTTTAAATCCATTAATGTTGCACAATCTGATATTTCACTTGTCATGAATCTGACGAGCTTTTTTGGAAGCATTTCAGCAATTTTTACTGGTGCTATTCTAAAGTTTTATACAGTTCGGCAAGTTTCAGTGATTGCATGCTTACTTACAAGTATTGGACTTACATTGAGTGCATTTACTGTGTCTGCATATCAAACGGTTCTGGCGTTTAGTGTATTATCAGGTTTTGGATTTGGAATGCTGGCAAACACGACAATTATTGCTGTTACATCATACTTTACAACTCATAAAAGAAGGGCTGTTAGTTTTTCAATGACAGGAACTGGTAAGATTTGTATCGACAAGTAGTTCTGTCTCTGTACCCAATTAACATCTAAATCTCAATAATTTGTATTTCCAAATCAGGAATCGGACAAATCATACTTCCGCAGGTTGTAAAATATTTGAACAGCAACTATACAGCAAATAATTCAATAATAATAATGGGAGGATCGATGCTGATTGGATTAATTGGAGCTCTTTTGTTCGAACCTGTCGAAAAGCATTTAAAGCCATGCATTATTGATGAAACCCATCCACTGACATCAAATAACTCTCCACCAACAGAAAATGACCTCAACTCATCGTTTTGGAAGAAGTTTGTGGACACAATGGACTTGGGATTACTTAAAGATTCACACTTCCTTATTCTAAATTTTGTTTTGGCTTGCGGTTTTGCCGTTGCAATGGATTTTACCTTGATTCTTCCATTTTTCTTACAAGTAAGCAATTAATTTTTAGAGGCTTTCACGACTGGAAGTGAATTGTGAACGACCTTATTTTTATTGACTACCTTACAAAGTAAAATTTTAATCATTAGGAGACAGCAAAGTTAGACACAACTCAAACAGCAATGTGTTTATCAGTCTTGGCGACTTTCGATTTAACCTCAAGAGTTACATTTCATTTCATAACAGATCGGACGAGCCTTTCAAGTCGGCAAATTCTTGTGATCGGTATCGTTTGTCTTGGAATATTAAAAACAATATTGACTTTCCTAACGACATATATGTCAATACTTATTACATGCTCAATTTACGGATACTTTCGTGCTATTGTACTTGTTAATCAAATCCTAGCGATATCAGAGCATTGCACTAAGTATCATCCAAAAAGATTTGCTGGTGCTTTAGGATTAAATATGCTGTTTTGTGGAATATCTGTCGTCACATTTGGACAACTTTTTGGAACGTTCAGAGACTATTTTAATGACTTTTCATACAGCTTTTATTTAGAAGACATATTTGTAACTTTTATTCTGTCAATTTGGTTAATTGAATATTTTTACAGATTAAAATAAACTTTATTGTTCTTAATATGGATTGGCTTTCTTTTTCATCTTCTTCTTTACTGAGGATTCTTCCTTCATTTGTTTTGAGGAAGTACCATTATCGCTCGACATTCCTTCCTTCCAGACTGAAATGATTGCTCCTTCACCAAACGTTAAATAGACATTATCCTTCTCATTGTACAAGCTAGCTCTAATGATTTGATTATTTCCAGTAATATTAGCAAGTGGATCTAATGACTTTTCATTAAACTTAATACTCCTAATGCATTCTCCTTTGTTGTAATTTGAAGTAGCTACAAACATCATTTCAGTTCCTATATTATGACAATCAATAATATTACAATCCACGACTGATTTTCTTTTCATTGATTCTGTTATTTCGGATCTCTCCCATTTCTTCAACAGATCCTGACTATCGATATCGTAAAGATGTAAGTCATTTGTGTTTGTTATGCATGATAATTTGTTGTCTTGATGCCATTTAAGCTTGTTAATTGAATCACATGTATTGAGCGAGTGTAAAAGAGCATCATCTTCACTTTCTTGTTTACAGTCAAAGATATTGATTAATCCATCAGTACTTCCACTTGCTAAACTGTCTGGATCTGTTGGATGGAACTTTACATCTGTTATCTCTTCTTGATGTGACTCAAAAAATCCACCCATAAGTCGACGCTCACGAATATCAAAGAAAAGCAGGTAAACTTCATTCTTTAATTCATCGGTTCCTGCACATATAAGGCGATCATTGGCATTTACATCAAAGCAATTAACTGGCTTGACTAAAATTTCGGTATCATCTGTAATTAAATAGATTTTAAGTCTCAATTTGTTCACTGGATCTTAATTATTGATTTACCTTCAAACATGAAAACTTTCTTAAAAGACCGTAAGTCATACATATGAATTTCGCCTGATATCGTCGATGCCATCACTAAATTTGGATCATTATTGAAAAACTTGACTCCAGAAACTGGATGACTAAACTGTCCAAATTCATTCTTTCCAATATATTTACTCAATCCTGTAGATGTGAAATCATAAACTTGCATCTCATTTCCTATTCCAATTGCTATTTTTGAGTAGTCATTGCTGCTAGCAGCATGAGTGATGTATTTCTTCTTTAAAGTAGCACATTCTTGAAAGTCGATAAAAAATTTCTGTCTAAATACTTCCTGAATATTGGCAACTGTATCTGAATCTTCAATTGGATCTTCCTCTTCTTCACTATCAATTGTTACGTCGAAATCTAGAGACATCTTTTCTTGTTAATATTCCGATTCTTTTTGAGAACTTTTTATTTCACCGCGCACGTGTGTTTGTAAACAGTTTTTGCGAATCGCACGTTTCAAAATTCAAATTTTAAAAACCGTTGAAAGATTTTAAAACCGGATTATTTTTATCAGCATAAATTTTAATCATTATCAGCTACATATAAAGCCTTGCTAAAGACTAAGGTACAACATTTTAAAAATTATGTTAAGAAGTGCTATAAAATTGCTTAATAATGGCACTATCAAGTCAATCAGTGTTCGTTCGATGACATATTATCCAATTGACGATGCGTTCTTTGGATTGACCGAGGAGCAAAGTGCTGTAAAGTATTTTGGAATTTATAAAAACTTTACGGCTTAATAAACAAAAACAAAAAAAAAACTTCTTATCTCTGTAGCTTCGTCAAACGGCATTCAATTTTGCTCAAAAAGAATTGGCTCCATTTGCCCAAGAAATTGACAAGAACAATGAATTTAAAGACTTGAGAAACTTTTGGAAAAAACTGGGGTCCATGGGATTTTTGGGTATTACTGCATCTCCAAAATATGGCGGTAAAATAAGAAATTTCTTAATTTTTCAGGCTTTTTAAATAAAAATTGCGACTTTCAGGCACTGGAGGAAGCTACCTAGATCATGTCTTGATTATTGAGGAACTTTCAAGAGCTTCTAGTTCCATTTCCTTATCCTATGGTGCACATTCAAATCTATGTGTCAATCAAATCAGTAGACATGGAAGTGAAGAACAAAAGCTAAAATACCTTCCAAAATTATGTTCTGGTGAGCACATGGGTGCTTTAGCAATGTCTGAAGCAGGAAGTGGATCGGATGTTGTGTCAATGAAGCTAAAAGCTGAAAAGGATGGCAATAATTACATCTTAAATGGAAGTAAATTTTGGATCACAAATGGACCTGATGCTGATGTTCTAGTTGTGTATGCTAAGACCGACACTAAGGTTGCACCACACAAAGGAATCAGTGCATTTATTATTGAAAAAGGTTTTGAAGGATTCAGTACAGGAAAAGTTCTTGACAAGGTAGGTCATCGTGGATCAAATACAGGAGAATTAATCTTCCAAGACTGTAAAATTCCAGCTGAAAATATGCTTGGAAAAGTTGGACATGGCGTTTATGTCTTAATGAGTGGATTAGATCTCGAAAGAGCTGTTCTTGCCGCTAATTCTTCAGGTTTAATGCAAGCAGCTATCGATGTAGCATTTGCTTATGCTCATCAAAGAAAGCAATTCGGTGTCAATATTGGAGAATTCCAATTAATTCAAGGAAAGATGGCTGACATGTACACAACATTAAACACATTTAGAAGTTACTTGTATAATGTAGCAAGATCATGTGATGCAGGCAAAGCTAATCCTAAAGACTGTGCTGGTGTAATTTTATATGGAGCAGAAAAGGGACAAAAATTAGTTTTAGACGCAATTCAGATTTTGGGAGGCAACGGATACATTAATGACTATCCAACTGGTAGATTCTTAAGAGATGCCTTGCTAGGAACAATTGGTGCAGGCACTAGTGAAATAAGAAGATTAGTTATTGGACGAGAAATTAACAAAGAATATAAATAATCGTACTGACAAGCTTAACATGCTTTAATAATTAAGACAAATTTCTTTATACATTCCGTTAAGATGTAATAGTTGAGTGCTGTACACATTTCAAGGTTGTGGGAATAAACAATGTTATTATACAAACATGTTGAACATAAAAATAACACTTGTTGCATTTTCATTGTGCCGCTATACAGCTGTTGTCATAGAGACGACACTTTTTTTCACTTCCATGGCAACGTTAATGATCCAAACAAAAAACGGATATAGTCTATCTTTATGGAAGAGATTTATTTTTATTTAATGTGAAATTAATTGAGAATATCGAGACATAAAAAGATGCAATTAAAGTATCTAAAGACAGCACTTGAGCCTCAAGTATGTAATTATGATTTAATTTAAATTTTCCACTTCATTAATGCTTAATTTACCATAAAAGGATCACTTGAGTCGAATCGCTGGATTATCATGGTCACCGAACTGTCAAAAATTGGCTGTGGCTACATCAGATCGAACTGTATTGCTTTTTGATGACAATGGAGAAAGGAAGGATAAATTTTCAACAAAACCAGGAGATCCATCAGCAAGTCGAGGTTCTTATGTAATTCGAGGTATTGCATTCAGTCCCGATTCTACGAGACTTGCTGTCGCCCAGAGTGACAATATTGTTTATGTCTATAAACTTGGTGATAATTGGAATGACAAAAAGGTGATTTGTAACAAATTTGTGCAGCAATCTGCAGTTGCATGCATGATATGGATGTCATCTGGAATGATAATCGCAGGCTTAGAAGATGGAAGGGTTCGAGCACTTCATTGTAAAAATAACAAGTCACAGAATTTGTATGGAACTGAATCTATGGCAATTACGTTAGCATCTAATGCTCGTGGTACGGGAGTTATATCAGGGCATGATGATGGATCAGTTATAAGATTTTACATTGTTGAAGAAAATTCAGAACCATCTGGTCGATTATTTCAACATTCTGTGCCACCTTCAGCTCTCGCTTGGAGTTCTAGTGGAGCAATAATCGCTGCTGGTTGTGATAAGAAAGTCAATTTTTATGACTGGCAAGGTCGTCTACAACGATCATTTGATTATTCACGTGATGATAATGAACGTGAATTTATGATAGCTACATGTAGTCCAAATGGTCAGAGTGTAGCTGTTGGCAGTTTTGATCGCATTAGAGTCTACACATACAGTCCACGTCAAAACTCATGGAGTGAAGCTTTATCGAAGGACATTGCTAATTTATATTCAATAACTGCACTCTCATGGAGGAAAGATGGTGCACGATTGGCAGTAGGAACTGTCTGTGGAGGTGTCTTTTATTTCGAAAGTGTCATTAAGAGAACAATTTGGCAAGACAAGTTTGAGATAACATTCGTGGCACCTAGTCAAGTTCTATTGAAATCATTACAAGAACCATCAAATTCAATGATTGTCGAGTCACAGTCAGGCTTAGAAATTGATGATGTTCGTATAATGGGAAAGGACAATTTTTTAGTCGCTAGAACTGATGAATCCTTAATACTTTGTGATCTTACTCGATCTCTAACCAGTGAAGTTTCTTGGATAGCTACTGGTCGTCATGAACGATTTTACTTTGAGAATCCAAATGTTTGTTTAATCTTCAATGCAGGAGAGCTTTCTTTAGTTGAGTATGGAGATAGCTTCATATTGGGTTCAGTTCGGACTGAATTTGTTAATCCACATTTAATATCAGTTCGATTAAATGAACGAGGAACTTCTACGAATAATAAGAAGCTAGCTTATTTACTTGATATGAAAACAATTTGTGTTGTCGACTTGATCATGCAAACAGTCATCACGCAAATCTCTCATGACTCAAAATTAGATTGGCTTGAATTAAGTGAGACAGCTCATAAACTTTTATTTCGAGATAAGAAAATGAGGCTAATTGTTGTGGATATCCAATCTGGAAGGAAGCAGACGTTATTAAGTAAAGTACAATTTGTACAGTGGGTTAGTAAGAGTGACGTTGTTCTAGCTCAAACTGACAGTAATTTAGCAGTTTGGTATAATATTGATCTACCAGAACATGTCACAATTATGACTGTACGAGGTGATGTGGTTGATGTCATAAGGGAAGACGGAAAAACAGAAGTTCACACAAAGGAAGGCGCAACTGAACATATTTATCCATTAGATGAGGGACTTGTTGAGTTTGGAACAGCATTAAATGATGGAGATTTTGGACGTGCTGTAATTTATCTTGAAACTCTTGGCGATAAACCAGCAGCAAAGGCAATGTGGCATAACTTAGCAAATATTGCCCTAATTCAACAAAATCTTCGTGTTGCACATCGATGCTTCGCAGCACTTTCTAATGCCTCGAAAACTTACTATCTCTATGAAACTATAAAAATTGGTGAACGATATGCTGAATCCACAGGACAGTCTGAAATTCAATGTCCAGAAGTTCGTGCTAGATTAGCTTTACTTGGTGGAGATTTACGAGCTGCTGAGAGAATTTATATTGATCAAGGTGATATTGAGTCAGCACTTCAGATGTACATTAAATTACGTCGTTGGGATGATGCAATAAAGTTGGCAGAACGTCGCGGTTATCCAGGTGTTTATGATTTAAGAGAGAAACAAATGTCATACTTGCTGACAACTAATCAAGAAGAAAAAGCCGGTGAAGTTTTAGAAGAACGTGGTGAGAAAGATAAAGCATTAACTTTATACATGAAAGCTAATAAGCCAGGCAAGGCAGCACGATTAGCTCTCAAAACGCCATCGTTGCTTCAAAATGAAGATTTAATTTCAAGAATAATTTCTCTTCTCGTTCGTGCTGAACTGTTTGAACTGGCTGGTGACTTGGCACACAAAACTAATCAACTGGATTTGGCAACAAAGTTTTATAAGAAAGGCAATGCATTCTCACGTGCTATTGAAATCGCACGAATTGTAGCACCTGATGACGTAACATCACTTGAAGAAGAATGGGGTGATCATTTAGTGTCGAAAAGGCAGTTGGATGCATCCATTAATCATTATATAGAAGCTGGATGTACATTAAAAGCACTTGATGCAGCTATGGGTGCAAAACAGTACAGAAAAGCTGTTCAAATCATGAAAGTTCTGGATGAGCCAGAAGAGATTAAAAAGTATGCAATGGAACTAGCTGAACGTTTGTCAAGCATTGGTGATATTGAAACTGCTGAGGATATCCTTGTTCGAGCTGAAATGTACACAGAAGCAATAGAGCTGCTTAACAAACACAACAAATGGGAAAAGTCCTTTGATATAGCTGAACAATATTTAGAAGGAGATGAAATTACGAGACTTTTTGGTGATGTTGCTACAAAATTGGAAGAAGACAAGAAGTTTAGAGATGCTGAGAAAGTTTACATAATTATGAGTCAACCAGATAAAGCTATTGAGATGTACAGAAACGTTGAAATGTATGATGCAATGATTCGACTCGTCGAAAGATACCATAAAGAGCACTTGGAAGCAACACATCTTCAATTAGCACGACAACTTGAAGAAAAAGGACGTTTGAAGAACGCAGAAGTTCACTTTGTCGCTGCTGGAGATTGGAAGTCAGCTGTTCATGCTTACTGCTCAGCTGGAAAATTTGAGGAAGCTTTTAGAGTCTCAAAACAGAAAGGAAGTGATGGTGCGTCAAATCAAGTCGCTTATATGTGGGCAAAATCTTTGCCATCAGTTGATGGTGCTGCAAGACTCCTTACAAAAATGGGTCTAGTCGATACATCCATTACTTTTGCATGCGATTCTGGGCAGTTTGATTTTGCGCTTGATTTATGTAAAGCAACTGGAAAGGTTGCAGATGATGTTCATTACAAGATTGCATTGTCATTTGAGGATGAAGGGAAGTTCCCAGAAGCAGAAACTGAATTTTTACTAGCAAATAAGCCAAGAGAGGCAATAATGATGCATGTTCATGGTGGAGATTGGAAGTCGGCTATTAAAATAGCTGAAAAGCATGTCCCAGAAGCAGTCAATGAAGTTTTAATAAATCAAGCAGGTGCTGCTTTAGAAGCCAGGAACTATCATGAATATGAAGCACTTCTAATTCGTGCAGAACGTCCTGATTTGATAATAAATCATTATAAGGAATATAACATGTGGCATGAAGCTATTCGTATTGCTGAAGAATATTTGCCACAAGAAGTAGCTGAACTAAAACGCATGCAGATTCGATCTAATCGTGGTTCCGCTTCCGGTGATTCTCGAAGTTTATTACAACAAGCATCCGAATATGCCAGAAATGAAGACTTTAAGAAGGCTGCTGAATGTCTATTGCAAATTAACCAAACGAATGCTGAAGAACAGTCGGTTGAGCGTGCCTTAATTCGTGCTGCAGAAATCTGTAATCAATTTTTGGAAGGAGAAGAAGCTGTTGAAATTGCTAGGGAACTTGGACCAAGGCTCATGGATATAAATTTAATTGGTCCGGCGGCTCAACTTTATTTGGCAGCAGAACTACCAAAGGAAGCTGTTGATGTATTTATTCAGTCTGATAATTGGAGTAAGGCTAGACGATTAGCTAAGGAAATCGACCCAACCTTATTAAACTACGTCGAGTCACAACAAAAGTTTAAATTAAAGCATCAAGGAAATGTTGAACAGCTTGCAGACATAGATATTGTAAGTGCACTCGATTTACTAGCTGAACAGCAACAATGGACGAGATGTATAGAGAAGGCAAAGCAACATGGTGGACAAATATTGCAAAAGTATCTAGCACAATATGCAGCCCAATTAATACGAGATAGTGAGGCACCAGCAGCACTTAATTTATATTTACAGTATGGAGCACCTGCATTGGCACAAAATTACACAGTTTATCATCGAATTGCTACAGAATGTTTTGGTCTGCGAGAACCTGAAGGATTAAATTTATGGAAAGACTTGAGAAACTTTTTATTCCAAGTTGTAAAAGCAATAAAGGCAAGTGACACACCAGACACTAGCAATGCTGTTGATAAATTCGAGCATTTACTGATGATTGCTCATTTTTATGCTGTCAGAGCTGCATGTAGACAAGTGTCAGCCTTACAAAACATATCATTGAAAATTTCTGTAGCACTTTTAAGGTACACGGACGTTATTCCATGCGATAAAGGATTTTATGAAGCAGGAATGGATTTGAGACAAGTTGGAAGAGAATCGGAAGCATTTGTGATGTTAAATCATTATTTGGACATTTGTGAAGCTATTGAAGAAGGTTCTGGTGATTTAGTAGATCACACAGATTTAGGATCAACGGATTATCCAAGTTCCGTTCCCATTCCTGAGTCTATGCATTTAAAACATGAAATGAAATTACATGAAGAAATTCGAGATTGGGTTTTAGCAATAAGCATGGATCAACAGGTTGATCAGTCATTACCTGTTGATGATAGAAATCTTTATGAATCAAGCGTAGGTATGGGCGATTCTGTATGTCTTATTTCATCATATCCAGTTCTAGGACGTCAGCCAATAACATTCCAACGTTCCTCAAATTTGTGTAATCGTGATGCATACAGCAAATTGACAGTATCAGCAAAAATGTCACCACACACGGATGTTCCTGAAATTATAGAGTTCTTAGAACAATGGCAAGGTCCTGCAAATTTTTTATCATCATGAATCATTCATATATTCACTGGATTAGAGTTCTTTAATATCAATTTTTACATTTTAAACTTAAATTATACGTCCTTTGTGTAGGTCACAAACAGAATGTGACATTTACACGATTTTCAAATAAAACCTAATGATGCACATTAAACAAGTCAGCAGCTGATGGTAGAGATGCGAAATTTCCAGTAAAATCGGGTAGATTCGCAAATGAAATGTCAGGCAATTTTGCCAAATGATTTTTAATTTCACTTTGGACTTCTTTGACTTTATCAAGCTTTGTTGTGTATTCCTGCATTGGAATTAAATTTATGTATTTAGAGTTATTGTAATAAAAATAAACACAAGAAAATATCACAAACCTCGAGTCTTTGTTCAGCTTGTGCTAAAAGCTCTTGTTGCTCTTTCTGAAAATCTTTCAGCATGACTGTAAGTTTATTTCTTTCATTCATTTCAGCCGCTAATCTTGAATTGTAATCCTTCAACAACTGAACAGCCTCGTTCACTTTCAAATGTAATTTTGCGGCAGCTTCTTTATCTTCAAGTTTACTGAGAGCATCTAAACTGCTAACTTCGGGTGGTAAACGAGTAATTTTCTCTCTTGTTGCTGCATCACTAGACGCCGCTTCCTCTAAACTTTCAAGCATTTTAATAAGTTCATCTGGTTCAGGTGGATCACCAATAATCTGTTTTGTAGGCGATAATGTGATATGCTTCTCTCCATTTACTTCTAAAATTTTTGCTTTTGATGGTGTCGGTACTTTTGAACTCTTTTTATCACTTCCATTTGAGGTATTTGATGCATGTTCATCAGTAGCCTTACGTTTGCGTGATGATGATGACGATGATGATTTAGGCGTTAATTCTTCCTTTGGCTTATCATTGGTCGCAGATCCAGAGTTTTTAGCACTAGACGAAGATCCAGAACTTTTTACACTCGATGTAGATCCAGTGACTCTTAAATTTGATGTATACTCTTTAATTTTCGATGAATCATATACTCCACGTTCACCCCAAATATTCAAAATTCTACTAAGACTATTAAATGTTTTGTCATCCGAGCATTTATGGGATATATCCTTGAATGCTTTCGGCAAAATTGTTGCAAAACTATTTCCAAATTCTGGACCCTTCTTTTTCGAGTTTTGTATGACATCATTGGCTAAATACATAAATACAAGTTTTCGGTTTGCTGGAGCTTAAAGATTAATAAATCATCAGATAAGCACAATATGCTGTAATTAAATTAATAATTACCTTTTGACAATTCTTTCATCCAGATTGAAACGATTTTTTCATTGTGTTTCCTGTGATGAATAAGCCATAGTGATAGTGTCTGAATCGACTGCGAACTAGTATTCAAGTCTCCTAATTTCTTAATCAACACACTTTCCGTAAACGCTGACATTTTGCGTAATTTTTAATATTTTTCCATTAACCAATTCAAATTTTCACTTGTTTACTTTTCTATTTTGCTTTAATTTAGCTATAAACTATAGTTTACTACCACAGTCTCTATAATGTATGGCTGTGATGATGTCAGTCCTGTCACTTTCTATCAATTAGTGCTTTTAAATCCCCTTAATTATTTAGTAAATTGATTTTCTTCCAATTTATTGTTCCTCTACTTTTTACTAGCTTGCAAGCTCGTCATTTTTCAGTGCTGGAACGCTTTTTGAATTTTTCACGACCGTTAATTTTTTTAAGGCACAAGATTTTGATTGCAGATGTGTACAACATTTGATGGCAAGCAAACCTTATGCTATAAGGTATATAAACCTTATATATACTATAAAATACTTTTCAGCGACAAGGATGAAATAAGGAACGGATGAGACAATGTGGAAGGTTTAGGCTGAACGACAAATGATTGATCAGCAACAACATTATTCACAAACCTGCATTACTTGCTCATCCAGAAAAAATTCTATATGAATAATCATCCATAGCTCAACTCAAAAAATAAAGTAAAAATATTGTGCATTCGTAAGGTTTTAGTCATTTAAATAAAGTTGGATAGAAAAATATAAATTTGTACTTTAAGCTTGGGGGCCATTCACTTATTACGTAACGCTTTTAGGGGGGGGGGGGGGAGGGGGGTCTAAGATTTTGTTACGGTTCAAACAATGAAATTTTTTTTTCATACAAATTTTGTTACGAGTGGGGGGGGGGGGGTCTAAAAAGTCATTTTTTCGCGTTACGTAATAAGTGAACAGCCCCTTAGATATCTCAGTTCATGAACTGATTGATTGGCGAATACATTTTAATTTACTATAACACTACACATTCCAAAATTATAAATTAATGATCAAATCTTTATAATTACCAACATTCCATATTAATCAAGTGTAACCAGAAAGATATTTTTATTTCTCTCCTTTCATGCCATTTCCCCTAATTCCTATTGGTGCTGTCTGTTAAATAATCATATTGAAATTAAAATCTTGTAAACAACATTTTTATGTCACACGTATAATGAATGATGAAAAGAAAGTGTAGACTTAGATACTCGAAAATAGATACATTGCGGTCTCTCCTAAAAATTTGAGGAAGAAGAGAAAATAACCAGTTTGCAGGTGCTCATTGATACTTTTTGCATTTCTTTTATCAATTTTTGATTGTAAGCACTAATCTTTTTATTGGCATGGCAAACGCTTTGGGTGACTGATTCAAAGCAGTGGAAGATGCGCCACAAAAGTTTTTATCGACGAAACCAGCTTCAAGTTTTATTGGGTGTCTTGATTTCTCTCGATGGACATCAATAGGCATTTAATAAGCATAAAGATTTCATCAAAAGCTAAAGAAATGCAAATTATTTAAATTTTCTTTATTAATTCCACAAAAGAAAATATTATAATTCAGGCTTATGTCACCAAAAGATGAAAACAAAGAGACATCTCGAATGAAAATTTATAAAACACTTTGGGGTCGTTGACTTATTACGTCCGAAATTAACGGTCATTTTTCAAAAAAGAACAATGGATTTCCAGGAATTTCTATTGTTCTTTTCTCGCTGAACCCCCCCCCCCCCCCCTGGACGTCATAAGTGAACGGGCCCTTTACTCATGTTTATTGATTCCGATGTCAATTATGACTATAACTGCGGGGAGGATGGCATCAGGATGTAGTAATTGACAATATTCATGCCATTCCATTAATAACTCGCAACTCACGAGTACACAATCTCATTGTGATTACCAAGGAAACATTTTTTGAGCAATCACGTCGAACAAGTCATTAAGTACGGCGAGTAATTTAATGAATAACATCGAAAAAAAGTCTTATTTTGTGTTAACAAAATATTTTGCAATGAAATGCATATCATGTATCCCTCAGTGCTTGGTAGATGAGACAATACCAATCTGGTAATTCACAATGACACACTCAACTAAAAAGTGACATAAAAGCAGAGTTGCGAAACAGGCTACCTGTGACAGGTGAGAACCGTTCAATTCCTTGATAATTTGTATGGTTTGTTAGAAAAACCTTATAAATTATCAAGGAATTGTAGGGTTCTCACCTGTCACAGGTGCCTGTTTCGCAACTCTGCATAAAAGTCATGAAGATGATGATGTGCGAATGGAATAAATAGCGCAATTTGTTTTAATAATAATGAAAATGTCATAAATTGTAGACTAAGGTAATAATCATGATAAATTGACTTATTGATAAATTGATTGAATTTAGAACTCTTTCGCTGGCTGCACAATAGTTTACTTCTTATGTGCTGTACTCACAGTACACACAACTAAAGAATTTTGAAGGGAATTTTTGAATAAATCCCCACAACAAGAATAAAGATCGTCTTGTCATGTTTTATAAGTTCAAATCAGCATCACATGATCATGAGGACATGCCAAACCAAACAAGCTTCCATACCATCATTAATCGATGGTCAATACCCACCCAAAGTGATCATCAAACCTCCCGAAAAAAAAGAGAAAATCCAATAAATACGATAATTTTTTGCATGCCGCATTCATACACAGATCCAATGACCACAAAAAAAGAGTTTATTGAAAGCCAGAAACTTTAGCGCCTCGCCGAATGAATGAAAAACACAAAAATTTCTCTCTCACATGTTTATTGCTGCAAATTTGCTTACCACAAAAATAAAATTTATAGCTACTACTTGCCGATACATGCTGCATTATTGAATCTTTTTGTTTTTTTTTTCCTCATCTTGCTGAACAACTGCTATACAGCAGAAGACAAGACAAAATATGAAAAAAAGCGAGCGAGAAAAAAAAACTACATAAGAAGAAATGAAAATGAAGTGAACGCAACTGCTGATTCAGTTTATGTCCGACCTTCCAACACATTAGAACGCCGTTTTTCGTATATTTTTTTTTCTTCTCTCAACTCTGTGTATCTCTCCCGCTTCGCTGTCGACCGTCTCATATGTTTTGTGTTTTTGTTTGCTGTTCAATCATAATCTTTCACTGTACTCCAAGCCGATATAACAGCATTGTGCGAACAAAAGTGAATTAAGAGAAATATAATAGTAACAAAAATAGTAATGCTTTAAGCATCGCACTCGTGTTGTGTTACCAATGCAATTTATTGTTGTTTAAGTTTAGTTATAGTTAAGGCTGAATAAAAAAGTAATTTTTATAATTTGAAAGTAAAAAGAAAGTTTTGTGCACTGCAATTTTTTGGAATGGAATTCAGATCCTTATAAAATTTATATTGAAAAGAGAAAATTAAATAAAAGTTAAAAGTTGAAAGTTGAATTGAAAGTGACAATTGCAATGGCACGTCTTCTTGTGTTCATATTGTGTGCATCAATGGCAACCACACAAAGAAATGGAAATGTTGTAAAGGATAAATGTAAGTAATGAATATTAGCACTTGCATCATAATTGAGCTAATTGTATGCTGACCTTGTCAAATGTTTAAAATCATTGACAAGGTTTTGAGACTTCCCAAAAAATTATTCATTCATCAAACATGAAGGCAAGACCCTTTAATAAATTCCACATTGAATTTTATAATTCATTCAAAAATGCCGGCTTTTTGTGTGTGGCCTAAGGGGAAAACAACATGATGAGAAAATAAAATTTTAATTTTCTCCAATTTCTGACCAGGGTTGGGATAAAGGCACTAGTGCACAGGTGCGAACCGTACAATCCCTTGATAATTTATGAGTTTTTTTTTTAACAAAACCATACGAATTCTTATAAAACCTCACAAATTATCAAGGAATTGTACGGTTTTCACGTGTGCACAGTTGCCTGTATCGCAACCCTGTTTTTAACCATTTCATAAACAAATTTTGATGATAATATCAATTTCCCATCATGTTGTTCCCCCCCTTAGTATTGCTAGAAGAATAGACTTTGTGTCGTTGAAGGAAACCCCCAATAATGGATTTATTGTAAAGCTTTGCTGTAATAAAAATTATTTTTTGCTGAAATGTGTGAAATGTGTGATAAAAACCTGTTGGTAAGCTACGCATTCTACCGTTAGCAAATAACACTTCATGTGTATGATTAATGTACGAATTTTTTCATGGGATGACAAATATTTTTCTTGTTTCTTACTTTTGTGTACGGATTGGAATGTGGGCGAAAAAGATGTTTTTTGTGTGCTGTTATTTAAAGTTGAGCTTGAATAATTTTTGGGTAAAAATTTTGTGAATGCCGGCTATGCTTTATTAGGTTCAAGTAGTTACAGCTTCATTCTTTTAAAATGTTAAAGTTCACAAAAACGCCGGTCATAAAGCAACCTTTAAGTCGGAAATCAATACAGGTTCAAACCTAAATGTCACGCCATAAATTTACATTAATGCCATCAAAAAAATAAGCAGCGTGCTGACAAATTTGATGGCTTTTTGATTTAATGCTCCATGTGATTGAGAAGTTTCATTGACTTTATTAAAATTACATCAAAATTGGATCGAAACCATATTGTAATAAGCTTAATAAGTGTTGTGTGGGTGTAGTTAATTTGAATAGCTGCCCACATGACTAGAAAAGGGACGGATGAATACAAAAAGATGAAAATTTATGTAATCAATGATATTATTTTCTTCTTAACTTAATGACAGTGATTTGACGCTATTTTTCTGTTCGTTAAAGAATAGAGCTATAAAAGTTTGATGATTTATTGATTCCATACTTTTTAAAATGTCAACAACCTTAAAAAATTATGAAAATTCCACTGGATCTTCCCTAAAGTTCCAAAGTTTCTGATTAACAGCATAAAGTTTCTCTAAAGGTTGATATTCCATAGAATATATCAGCCATAGAAGCAAAATAGCAATCACCTGTTACCTCTCATGACATAACGTTTGCATCTTGTTAACCTCTTACTTACCGAATACTCTCATGCATTCTGTACAATCTGTGTTTATTAATTTAATCGAATCTCATTGCCATACTTTCTTCATTCTGCAACGAAATATTTACGAGTCTTTTAAGCGCCGAAGTCATAAAACCAATTTTCGTGCAAATCTCTTCATAATCTCTTGCTTCATCTTCATCCACTTGCTATTGATGTTATTATTCGCATTGTTGTCAAAAATGTTTTTGCAAAGGAATTTTTGACTGACTCTCGTCTGCAGACGATGATGATCAATTTTTAATAAAAGAAAGAAATTAATCGGTTATAAGAGTTGCACAACAACAGCTTATGATACGACCAGAAATAAATTGCTTTCTTCCTCGTCTATTTTTTGTGACTTAAAAGCGAAAGTTTTGTGATACAGTCGGAATAATATACATAAAATAATAATAATATTTAAGAGTTGACTACGTTATGTATATTTTTTATGTCCAAAAAGATGTTATAATGCTTAACCTTCGACATAGCTGATGCTGTTTACAATTGAAATTGGTTTCGTGATTACATTAAAATTAATTTCATTTTGGCAAGTTTAATTGAAAGTCTTTTTGTGGAGATTTATTGTGAACTAGTGCGAAGATGTGATATTTTTTATCGCTTTTAGCATGTTGAATTATGTCTTTGATGTGATATTTTGAGCTTGATTTAAAATAATGATTTTGAATTTGTTTATTTTCAATAAAATTTCTAAGAACTTTCTACAAGTTTGATTTCAAAACTTAAAATTTAAGCTATGCCAAACTTCCGAAATAATCAGACAAAATTAAATCAACATCCGGATATTAGAGCTTTTACAGATTTTACTAAAATTGTTAACCAAAATTGCATAATAAAACTTTAAACTTTTCAGAAATTTGAGACCAATGCTGTATGTTTCTAATTATGTCACCAAAGTATCATATTTTCACACAAAATTTGCGAATTTTTCAATGTTGACAGATTTTATTGAATGCATAAATCGATTAATATTGAGATATCAGATGATCATTAGTGACAGAAATTAAATTATTGGTTTGAAATTTCCAAAATTTGTTTGTTGTTTGTTATTTTATATTCTCATTAAAATCCATATCGCAATATTCATAATCTATTTTAAGTTTGTCTGCTCCAGCCCATCACATTTGAATACCCAATATTCCAGAATGTAAAACAAATTTTTCGGGAATATACAAAAAAAATCTTCATAAAGCGATTTAACTTTTGGCTTTTTGTCTTTATCATGGCACCCAAAAAAGATCTTCTTTAATAATTAAGGAAAATTTAATATGACCAACAAATTGAGTTCCACAGACAGTGTGAATAAAATTTCTACAAATAAAATAAAATATAAGAAAGGTCGAGTCACTGAAAACTAGTTTAGAATAAAAGATTCTAAATCAGGAGATGAAGCAAAAATTAAGAAATTTATCATCCTTTGCTATAAATGTCGAACGTGGAACTAAAAAGTCAAGAAAGAATTTTCAACTTTGATATTCTTATGCCTCTCAGTAACAATGAATACTTAATATCCCAAGCAGCAAGATGTTGTGCAATCCACAGAAATGCTGATTTACACACTCGATGACTTGAGAATGACCATTGAATTGAAAACTTTTCAATGCTGATTGTCTCATTAGCCAACAATAAAAAGTCAAAAGTTTGTATTTCATAATGATTTGACTGTTCCCTTCAGGAATTTTCTAACAATTGAAAAAAATGATTTTTATAAACTCATTATTTGAAATATTTTATGCTTCTGAATTGGATGTGCTTCAAAATATTCATTGCTGTGTTTACTGATGTATTTACACAATGGGCCAACGTTTTAATTTTAATGGATAGTTTCGGATACAAGTTCAATAGCCAGTTTAAGCAGAATTAGCAATTCGGAAGTTTAACCTTTCAAAATAAAATATTCAGGCAATTAATGAGGTTGATGTGGTTACAAGAAATACAAACCTGCTGTATTTGTTATTTCTGAGTGAATTTATGGATGAGAAGGGATTTTTACAGATTTTAAGCACTTTGGGGCCATTCACTTATTACGTAACGCTTTTAGGGGGGGAGGGGGGTCTAAGATTTTGTTACGGTTCAAACAAGGAAATTTTTTTTTCATACAAATTTTGTTACGAGGGGGGGGGGGGTCTAAAAAGTCATTTTTTCGCGTTACGTAATAAGTGAACAGCCCCTTTTTTGAACAATTATTGATATCGTTGTGTTAAGATTGAATTTAAAATCTAATATCATTAATCTCAATCCAAAATCCACAAGGAAGTCACTAGATTTTTCCACATTCACGAAAATAAATATAAAATTAATTAACTTAACCATCGTTGATGATTTCTTATTCAAAATAGATTAAATATTCACATTCCATAACTGAGTAACTTGCAGTTAATAACTACCTTGACATTCTCTCTTTCCATTCCATTATTTCTACTTACGTACATCATATACATATGCCCGAGGGCATATGAATCTTTGCTTAAAGACACTCTTAAATGATGACCGACACAATCTTAAGCATGGTGTAAATTGCATTAATTTTGACTCTATGATTTTTAATAGCTGTCTGGCAGTTTGAAGATGATTTAAGTTTGTTTTGGACACTGAGATGCCTAAGCCACATTTCCTGATCACTAAGCTTTGTTTGAACTACTTTGACATATTAATTTGCCTCAAACTTACCGAGATCTAGTCCTAGTCCAATAATATTATGTGAAATATCGGTCAGCGTACAGAAATCATTAATAATTCATAGGAACGTGCAAGAAACAATAAGATTATGTGGTGCAATTATTGAGATTCGATTGTTTCACATCTCACCTCATTTATGCTCTAAATATAAGAGTTGTTACTGCAATATTTAAAACAAGAAGAAGGTACAAAGATAATTAAGTGAGTTTAATTGCAACATAGTTCTTTAATTGGCGATTATACTACGTGATTTATGCCACCATCCGCGCAAATATTTTATAAACCTTGCTATAGCAAACAGTTTTAAAGTTCTCACAGTCTTCAGTCCCATGTCTCTCATCCGCAATTATTACTAATAAGCACTATAGAAACGAGACAATAATCAAATATTTGCATAGCTAATAAAGCTTAATGGAACAATGAAAGGGTTTTCTAGCGCGCAATGCAAGTTTAATTTGCATTTATGAAAATTAATTTTCTCCTCTGTCTTTGGTGCTTGTCTTTCTCTTTTGTTTGATTTGCATTATTATGGTGCAAATTAATTTCATAATGGAAATGCAAATGCGTAAAATTTCTTGGAATTTCATGGCTTTTGTTTGATTTTAAATTATGAAAATTTGATTATGATGTTGAATTGGATGTGCTACCATGGAAGTGGATTTTTGATTTGGTTTGAAATGCAAAATTTGTTTGTTTTGATGGATATTGTGTAAAGCTATTTGCTGATAAATTAATTAGGATGATTCCTCAACTATTTGCAAGGTTTGCAAACATAACCTCTGAAAATCATCAAAATCTAAAAGATATTC